AGATAACTTTTTTAATTTTATAGATATACACGAAATTCATCTAAAAACAATATAAAAAAAAGTATCATTCGTTTAACCCGGCGTCATGGGGGTGGTAAATGCTTACACGGACGTGGGGGCTGGGTCATAATTACCTGGATATGAACTGTGTATATTTCGGAATCTATTAAAAATAATGAATATTATTTATTATCAGCATTGAATAAGTGTTATTAGGGTAATAAAAAACTAAAATTATAATGAAAATAGAAAGGTTTATTAATAAGAACTAGACTTTGAAAAATATACACTAATTTTTTAACAAATTTGGCTTCCTCTAGCAAAACTTAAAATAATTAAATTTTTTGGCAATATAAAATTTTTAAACAGCATTATTATTAATAACACAATATTAAACAATACAAATAACTAAGGACAATCATTATAATTAACGCAAGTGGGACAGAAAGGCACTATATGTTGAGGGCAAATATGTTTGTTGCATCCTTGACACACGTGAGTTGTCTTACGATCTTTGCTTGCAGGACATAGTTGACACCTCTTGCGAGCATTAGTTCTTTTTATCGGGGGCTCTTCCACAGGTTCGCCTGAAAACTGGCAGATTTTTTTGCGAAGTTCACGTGGCAAACTTAGAACGTTGCGGCGGTCTTTCAAGTGGTCACTGACAAGCGCAAGGCCTAGATTTTTCAAATAGCGGCGTCGTTTTTGGTTTGATTCATTGTTTATGCGGTGTAAAATGAGTCCGTTTATCGCTGCCATGTTTAACACCGCATAAAAAATAGTCAGCGGCCACTTCTTTGAATTACGACACACGTCATATGTAGCGCTCAACTCATCAGCGACGTCAACTCCACATTTTGTTTTGTTGTAATAAGTGTTGATCTCTGGTTTTTTCTTTTCGCCGGTTGAACTATCAATGCAGTCGTCATGATGAAGGCTTGACATCAGCAACACTACCTTCTTCTTTTTAGGTATATGCGACACAAGAGTGATGTCCTTTTGAAAGGCAAATCGGGAGGTAAAAACGCCTTTGCGCGTTTTCGTAAATTCAGGTGGAATTTCCTTTTTATTCTTACGTAGGGTCCCAACTGACGTTAATTTATGTTCACTAAGTAAGTGATGAACAAGTTCATAACTTGTAAACCAATTGTCAAACGTTACGTTACGCTTTGTCTTGGATATGGGCTGCACAATTCGATCTACTATATCAAATGGCTTATTACTTAAAGAATATGGACCATCAGGCTGCTTTCCCGCATATATTTCGAGGTTTTTGATGTAAAAGTTTCGAGCATCTACTAGAGCAATTATTTTTAGCCCATATTTGGCCGGCTTCGATGGTATGTACTGACGAAATTTACAGCGACCTCTGAAAGCTATCAGCATTTCGTCTATTGTTAGGCAGTCACTTGGCACGTAAGAATTTTTGCAGTTTTCAACAAAGGCTTCAAACAGTTCTCTAATTGGTGCTAAGTTATCAAGTCGTCTCCGTTCGTCGCGAGTAGAAAGGTCGTCAAACGTTAAACAGCTTTGTAGGAAATGAAAACGCTGTTTAGACATTACTAGTCCATAAATTTCTACTCCAGTGCCATCAGTAGACCACAAGTCACTCAAGTTTTGCCTACCAGAGCGGTTTAAGCCAGCAAGGTAAAGAAGGCCAATAAAAGCTTTTAATTCTGCCACATTGCATTCTTTTACATGCGTGTATTTTGACAAATTATTGCACAATGCTATTTTAGGACGGATGCGATCATTAGTGCATTTCAGAATATTTTGCAACATTTCCTCAGTAAAAAATAGGTTCCAGCATGCAAATTCAGACAAAGCAGCCTTTGCTTCCGGAGCTACCCCCGGCAACTGGTCAATTATATTTTCGGCTCTTGTTCGAACATTCTGTCGAAGAGGCTTACGAAACCAAGCCGTACCATCTTTACCAAAATACTGCTGGTTGTACTCACAATCACGATCCGAGGAACTTGTTGATGCATGATCCTCCTGCTGCAGATTTGCCTCAGATAGTACCCTTCGTCTGATTGTCGCCAATGGAACGTCGTCACTATCCGAAATGTCTTGCTCGGTATCGGTAGATTGACTACGCTCACTGACATGGTCTTCATTTTCTTCAGACTCCTGATCAGACGACATAACATCCGAGTCAGATTCTTCTAGAACCGCCATAATACGTCGTCTTTCTCGTTCTTCGGTGTCCATAATTATTCGTAATACGTACTGACAAAATAAAAAACGTGAAAACCACAAAACAATGTAGTAAAACAAAAAAAAAAGCATCAAAAACAACAATAAACCACTTAAACCGTGATTCATCAAAATGGCTTAAAATAGTTACACGGACTACAGGCATGGGTCATATTTACCTTTTTTTTGTCACGACACTTGTAGCTTCCAACGCGGCTCTCGCCCGACTGATTTCGCGGAATTAACGTGTACAGGGACTCAATAGCTCCAGCTACTGAGAAGAGCGGCAACGTCGCGCGCGTCTTTGCAAAATTATTGGTGATCTCCGAAAGCGCGGGTAATTTTGACCCAGCCCCCATGACGCCGGGTTAATAAGTTAAAATCTAAAAATAAATTTAGCTTTCAAAATTTCCCACGAAAACGGCAACTTCTATTATGGCGTCGCTATCACGTCACGGCCCTCTGAAAGTAATGTCGTCCTAGTATGCATAAGGTTCAATTCTCTAAGTTTTGATATGAGTAAGAGGGGCGTGACGTCACGCGCTGCTTGCGGTCACGTGACAACGAGTATAAAATATTTGATTTTTCATAATTAATTCAAGCAATATTATAAATATAATAGCATAAAAGTGTGATTGTCAGTAATAGTATATTATACACTACCAAATATATGTAGAAAAAAGTAATAGGTATTTATTTTCGTTTACTGTCTACTCCTACTAATTTACTTAAGGTAAATTTCCCTTACTTTTGTTTTTATTTATTAAATAATTGATATGAAAACTATATTTTATACCAAATTACACATACACGTGAAATTTGATTAAAATCGGTTCAGTAATTTCGGAGTGTACCGATGATATACACCTTGTCAGATTTTTATTTATACGAGGGTCAAACTGAAAGTTCTTAGAACTGGCCACTTATAAACAATATAATAAAAAAATAATTCTTAAATTTGAAAATATAACTCTTTGCCAATATTACTGAGTATATATTTCATTCATTTGTCATTTGTTTTACGATTTGGCGGCAAATTGAAAATTGTCTGTGTCACGTCATCATGAATTTAACACGAGAAAATTTTCGTGCAATGATTTTTTATGACTTTCGATGTCATTTAAGTCAACAAGAAAGTTATGATAGACTACGATTGGCCTTTCACGATGAAGCCCCATCTCGTGCGACTGTTTACAACTGGTTTAATGAGTTTAAACGTGGTCGCACTAATCTCACTGATGATTTACGTGAGGGACGGCCTTCTACGGCGACGACTGAAGATAACATCTGTGTTGTGCGGCGTATGATAGAGACTGACAAAAGAGTGACCTATCAACAGATTCGGACAAGCTTAGGCATCGGTATGAGTCAAGTGCACAAAATCCTCCACGAACATTTAGCGGTCAGGAAGCTTTGCGCCCGGTGGATACCTCATAATTTGACTGAGGCTCAAAAACTCCATCGTGTGGATTGGTGTCGTAAAATGATTGAAAGATTTAACGGAGGTGACTCAAATGCTGTGTTCGACATACTAACAGGTGACGAAAGCTGGATTTACTGTTATGATCCTAAAACCAAAAGACAATCTGCTCAGTGGGTGTTTCCTTTCGAGGAGTTGCCAACTAAAGTGAAGAGAGATCGAAGTGCGGGAAAAAAAATGGTGGCCTCGTTCTTTGGAAGGATAGGTCATTTTGCAACAATTGTGTTAGAGGATCAAAAAACAGTTTCTGCAGAATGGTACACTACCAATTGTTTGCCACTTGTCTTGGAAAAAGTTCGAGAGAAACGACCTCGCAGTAGGATCCTCCTTCACCACGACAACGCCTCGTCGCACACCGCCAAGCGAACGATCGACTATTTGGCGACATCAAACGTTGAATTACTGGGTCACCCGCCGTATAGCCCCGACCTCGCGCCTTGTGATTTTTATTTATTTCCAAAAATTAAAGAAAAACTTAAAGGAAAGCGGTTTATGAATGCTGAAGAAGCGGTGGCTGCGTATCGCGATGCCATTGAAGAGACCCCTAAGGACGAGTGGGCAAAGTGCTTTTCCCAGTGGTTCCATCGCATGCAGCGGTGTATTGACGTGAATGGACAATATTTTGAAAATAAATAATAAAACTAATAACTGGCTAATGTAATCAGTTTTTGATTTTCTAAGAACTTTCAGTTTGACCCTCGTACCTAATAGATTTCACATCTGAATTGTAAAAAAAAGTCAGGTTACCACAATATGTCAAGTTTCTCCTGTTGATTTTAAACTCTACACACAATACATTAAGGTTAAAATCAAATCGAGAAATTTGACAGATTTGTATAAACTGATGTGCTGTTGATTATAGGTTCTAATAATATGGACTAATTAAGACAAGTTTAAAAATACAATCTAGCCTGAGTTTGATATTATTTCTATCGGAATATTATTTCTTCTTACAATAGAATTTCTGAGAATTGCGAATAAAGTATTTCCCTTTCTTTATTTTCGAGGATGATCTAATATTGAATTTAGGCTGACAAGATAATTGAGAAAGATATTTTGTATAAGTACTTTTATCTTTACAATAATGAAATAAAAAAAATAACATTGAACCCACAGTTGTTTTAGCAATAGAGGTGATTGCTGAGTTTTTCTTATTATGCTCAATGTTGAGTTAAAAATAAAGTTAAAACACATAATTAAAGATATTGGGATTTATTTATTGTTTTTTATTATTAAAATTTCTGTTTAGATTTAAAGAACATCGAATATTTTGGCCGAAATTAATACGTCATGGTCGACATTGTAAATCTATTGTTTGTTACAGCTCAAAAAACGCTTCAAATCTTCAATATCGAAATGAAGTCCAAAATGAAAGCGCACACCATGACAGAGGACGTAGTGTTCTGGAAGTGGATCTCATTGAACACACTCGCCCTCGTCACAAAGATGTCCGTTTACCACTGGTCTATGGAGGGGGACTCTACGCCAGTGAAGATGTTTGACAGGCACGCGTCGCTCGCTGACTGTCAGATCATCAACTATAGGACCGATCCCAAACAGCAATGGCTCCTGCTTGTCGGTGTGTACTATTTATTTATTTTTAGAAATATTAACAGCTAACATAAATCGATCAAAATAATAATAGTCATTTAAAGATCCTTTGTTTATGGTACCCTTATTGCGATCATTTTTTTTTTTCATAATATTTTTGTATTTCCCTGCCCCGTTATTCAAACACGAAAACCGAACTAAGTAGTTAATTATTATAATATCTTTAGTTATATTCAATTTAATACAATACTGTCTTATTATATACGAATCTGACGGAAGAGTCGTCAAACGTCTTACGCAAGTATGCGTTAGTACCCAACGAATTCATCCAGTGTCATATTTATTTATTCTATCCTAGGAACAACTATAGCTAACAAACACTAGACTAGTATTAAATAGATCATAATTAAAAGTATTCACAATCAAACCAAACCAAAAATGATTATTTACGTATCAAAATAGTGTAGACATCTATTTGTGATAACATTCCTAGTATAAAGGATGCCTCTTATCGCTCTTCAAGACCGGATTAAACATAGGCGATCAATTAAATTAAAAAAGAAATTGAAATAATGTGTGTCTGCGTGCGTGCGTGCGTGCGTACGTGCGCGCGTCTGTGTCTTGAGTATGTTGTCTGTAATTCATGAATTATATATTATCGTGAGGCTTGACACTGTAAGTGTTGTACAAACGTCCATTAAAATAGTCATTAGTTTAAAGTGGCATGGACGTTTGTGCAACTGACCGTTGATAAATTGTGGATGCTCTGTGGAGGGGCGAATGACATGTAGAGTGGTTGGTTGCGAGATGTGTTGCTGCTTGAGTTGTGCATTTCTGTGCTGACGGTGGACAGCCGGTCCTGCAGATACTGACTGGGTGTGGAAGATGCTAGATATATTACACGGCGAATCATTAATTTACAGTTACGCAGATTCAGTCGAAATGATATAAAGATAGTATTATTATTAGACTGTTTTTTATTTACTTATTTAGTATCAGTTATATTTAGAACTCCGGATAAACTATTCATCGGGTGCGGTGAGGTTAATTACTTTCGTGTCTGCGGCTTCTATAAGTCATAACAACGTATAATGGACACGCTGACAACATATTAATGGACTTATACCTATAGAGACATAGGTCCGCTTATTCGGCAGTGTTAGCTTTAGGCCTTTTTTATCTTCATTATAAAGCTATGGTTGCTTTTAAAATATTTAAAAAGTGTTAGCTTTATACGTTATTCATGTTTATAACATATAAAAAATAGAATTAATTCACATTTCTTTACACATTCTGAAGTGTTAGTTGACTAACGATGAGACATAATTTTTATGTGCTATATTTTTATTTTAAAATTTCATTGCGTATTTGTTTACATTAGTGTTGAATGTGTAATTTGTTTTTAGGTATATCTGCTCAGCAGAACCGTGTAGTAGGCGCCATGCAGTTGTATTCTGTGGAGCGCAAATGTTCTCAGCCCATAGAGGGCCACGCGGCCTCCTTTGCCACGTTCAAAGCTGAAGGCAACGCGGAACCCTCTACTCTGTTCTGCTTTGCTGTGCGAACTGCACAGGGTGGCAAGCTTCATATCATCGGTAAGGGTCGATAATATAGTTACTGGGCTTTTACACATTACTTGACTGCATCTCAAGAATTACTTCATTATGTCATAGAATAAAGTCAGAAAGTATATACTCTTCAACCATGTATTATTTGTAAACCTATCGCGTAATTTGAATAAGTAAGAAAATCTTACACCAGCGTTATAAACCCAAACTACATTCTATTTTACTTCTTTATAAACCTAAATTTACCATGAAGTACTTAAGCGTTTTTTCGGGTACGACATTTTATTACTTAAAATTTCATTTTTTACGTAGTGAGTATAATTGCGTAAAAATGAATTTATACACATAAAATAAATTAATGTGTATTACACGTAGAGCAAAAAATGATTAATTCCATTTGCACTGATCCATAGTGAACCGTTTGATAGCATATTTAGGTCAACGCCAAAATCTGATTTCGATCCATTTAACAGTTGAAAATATTACGTAGAGGTCTTTAATGTTACATTAAACGAGTTCGTCATGATTACGCAATTTAAATTCTCATCAATTCCTAGTCTATTGGTCTCAAATTTAAGTCAAATTGTCAGCTTCGAAATTTTGTTTCTCGAGAAAAATAAAACATAGTATGAATCACTTTAAGGGGTCATTGAAGTATTGCGTAAATAACAAATGGGGATGGAGGAGGAGATTTAATAATTTCAAATTCCTAAATATTTGGTTAGAGTTGACTTTTGCTTTTGGTTGTAGAATGTTAATTGAATAAAGTATCCGAAACCTTAACGATCATCTTATGATATCCTCAGAGGTTGGTCAAACCCCAGCTGGCAACCAGCCGTTTCCCAAGAAGGCAGTGGATGTATTCTTCCCGGCCGAAGCACAAAACGACTTCCCCGTGGCTATGCAAGTATCGCCCAAGTATGACGTCATCTACCTCATCACCAAATACGGTTACATACATATGTATGACATCGAGACTGGCACTTGTATATACATGAATCGGATCTCTTCGGACACTATCTTCGTCACTGCACCACACGAAGCCACTGGCGGTATTATCGGTGAGTAATATATGAGTTCTCATTTTAATTTTATGCTACCTTCCTTGTATATATTTCATCACGTGATTCCTGGATAAGGGTAGTCCGAATAAAATAATTTAAAATAATTTGTCTGAATAAAATAAGTAATAGAAATATTGTGCTATTTTATTTATTAATTTCAAGAAAAAAAAATCCACAGCAAGTTCTTTTGTTAATAATAGTAGAACGACTTTAACATGTCTTAAAGCCAATTAAATCGAAATATAATTGAGTTTTGTGCATAGTTTGTGCGACATAGGTTGTGGGTGTGTTGAGCGATAAAAATGATCATGTAAGCTCTGTACAGTCAATAGCCCTACTGCAAATGTCATACAGAAATGTCATGTCCAGCAAAGTGCGCCTATCTTCCAGACTGATTATTTTATGATAACGGCATCCCTCCTCATAATTCACAAAGTAAGGAGTGCGATAATTAAGATGCTGAATCAACTCTAAATCTTGTTTATATGTAACATATTGAGGATTCCATATGTTACAACAGTAGTCGAGAAAGCTACGGCAATATGCATTGTATAGAGCCTTGACACAAAAGATATCAGTAAACGGTTTGCTCACCCTTAAAATGAACCCTATATTTTTATAAGCTTTGTTAACTGTTGTAGCCATGTGTTCAGAAAAAATTAATTTGTCATCAAAGAGTACGCCGAGATCACTTACTACATTCGTTCATATTATAGATGTGTTATTCTAATTATAATTATACAGCTATATCTAGAGAAATGTGTCTGTGCATACATACAAAATAGTAATCATCCCATTGTTCATAATATTTAGAAACTAAATATCGCAGTTGAGATTTTACAGTTAATTTTTTATATTGATATCGGAAATATAGAAAATATGAATGTGTTAAAAAATAATTAATTTCAATAATTTATTTCAATGCTAACTGCATTTATGTGATTACACTCTGTTTCAATTATATTGATAAAAAGGTCTTTGTTTTGTATTTATTGATAAACGTCACATAGAAGTGATAAAGTATCCAGTATAAATGTAGTATATTTATTTAATTAAGCTTTTTACATTTTTTTAATTGATACAATAATCGTAATGGTTTGAGAGAAATCAGTCATCGTATCTATTATTCACGTGGGGAATATGTTATACTCGAGCATTAGATACACTCTATGGAACATTATACTGTCTTCAGATACCTACTCTCAGTTTTCAGTAATCAGAAAGCTTTTACAGTCCCACACAGTCTAATGCAGGTCTTTCGTAAATAATAAAATAAAATGTAGTTTATTTTACTTGCTGATAATGAAGTTTTATGTTTTAGCTGAAGTTATAAAAATGTTGCATCAGTTTTAAAGTTCTTCAATTGCAGACAAAAATACTCGTATCTTTATAATATTAGGACCCTACACAAAAAACATGTTTTTTTTATATCCATGCAGGCGTTAACCGCAAAGGGCAAGTTTTGTCAGTGACTGTAGAAGAGGATTCGATCGTGCCATACATCAACACGGTGCTCCAAAACCCTGAGTTGGCGCTACGTCTCGCCGTACGCAATAATCTTGCTGGCGCCGAAGAGTTGTTTGTCCGGAAGTTCAACATGTTGTTTACTAACGGACAGTACGGCGAAGCGGCTAAGGTAATATTTCAGCTGCTCTTTACAAATAAGATATTTATGGATAAGTTTTCCAAAAATATTTACAATGTATTTTTTATTTTATCATTGACGTTAATTGCATTTCACAGTCGAAACTAAAATATAAATCAGTTTATAGAATAGGGATGACGACTATTATCTCTTGTTTGTCTGTCAGGTAGATCGTTGAAAAATATTAAAACACGTATTTTTTTATTTTTTGCTTAATCATTAAATTACAACGATACGTTGAGTTAAAATGTCACATAACGGCACTCTTTAGTACATTTTCTACAAAACTGTGATGTACCAAGTCCCCACTCCTCAAACTTAATGCCTGTTGTCTAAACTATTTATTGTTAAATTGAAGTAAAAAAAAATATGTATCTAATATTTTTCTATTAACTGACTGATGGACTAAATGGAATTTTTACTTTTTTACCCAGTCATCATCCCTATTATTTTTCTTTCTTCAAATAGAATTATTTCACATCTATATGGAATTTCAGCTGCATAATACCAAATATAATTTTAACTATTAATCTAATTCTACGTGTAATGTTGTCACCCAGGTGGCGGCGATGGCTCCCCGCGGCATCCTGCGCACGCCGCAGACGATCCAGCGGTTCCAGCAGGTGCCCACGCAGCCCGGACAGACCTCGCCGCTGCTGCAGTACTTCGGCATCCTGCTGGACCAGGCCCAGCTCAACAAGTTCGAGTCGCTCGAGCTGTGCCGACCTGTGTTGCTGCAAGGTATGTACTAGTGTTACTATCTACAGATGTTTCAGCGGTTCTCTGGATATTGAACTAACCAAATTCTAGAGTTAATTCTAGGGTCAGTATTTGAGCAAACTTACAACTGGATATAATTTTTCATTTCTATAACGTGAAATAGTATTTGAACATCTTATAATATGCCATTTTGTGTTTGCAGGTCGCAAGCAACTTCTTGAGAAGTGGCTCAAGGAAGAAAAACTAGAGTGTTCTGAAGAGCTCGGTGATCTGGTGAAGCAAGTCGACCCCACTCTAGCCCTGTCGGTGTATTTACGTGCTAATGTCGCCAGCAAAGTTATTCAATGCTTTGCAGAAACCGGACAATTCCAAAAGATTGTGCTTTATGCTAAGAAGGTATATAAAACACTATCACTAGTTTCTATTAACCATTCTAAATATTTACTCATGAAGATTTGGATTTTTAAGTATTATTTTATTGTTGGTATGATTTCTTTGTCTCTCTTGTCTGAAAATCCACAACATAGTGTTAACAGCGTAAATAACTATTTCGCTAATATAGGGAAAAATTTGACTGAGATAATTGCTTCAAGGCGGTCCCTGTTAGAGTCACCAGTTAGCAATTACCATCAATCAAGCCAACCAAATTCATTGCTTATGTTGCCTGTTAATGAAGAGGAAGTGACTAAACTTATAAGACGCCTCAGGGATAGTAGCACCGTGGGCATTGATCTAATCTCTAGTAGAGTTGTCAAGAGATATATACAAAAACTTGTAACTCCTTTAACACATATATGTAACTTGACCTTTGCGACTGGTGTTTTTCCAAGTGTATTTAAATCAGCTCTTATAAAGCCGGTTTTTAAGGGTGGTGAAAAAGATCGGGTTGAGAATTTTAGACCTATTTTCATTTTGCCGACGCTTTCTAAAATACTGGAGCGGGCAATGAATGACAGATTGATTGGGTTCTTGGAGACAAATAATCTACTTTCATCGTCGCAATATGGTTTCCGTCGCGGCAAGTCTACTTGTGATGCGGTCCTAGGTCTCGTAAACTCCGTAGTTAAGGCGCTAGACGTAAAGAGACGATGTGTCGCTGTGTTCCTTGATCTAGCTAAGGCATTTGACACTGTCTCGATACCACATCTTCTTATGAAATTGGAACGCCTTGGAGTGCGAGGTTTTCCTTTGAAACTCTTTGAAGATTACCTCACAGACCGAACACAAATGGTTAAGATAGACAATTGGATGAGCGATGAGGTTCTGATCTCTTGCGGTGTACCCCAGGGCAGTATAGTTGGCCCAACGCTGTTCCTTGCTTACCTCAATGACTTGACTAACATGGAACTTCAAGGAGGTGAAATCTATGCTTTCGCCGATGACACTGCTCTTCTCTTTAGTGGAGCTAATTGGGAAGAAGCATTTCATAATGCCCAGGAAGGTCTTGATAAAGTGGACTGGTGGCTGATCCGTAATGATCTAACTCTTAATGTCACTAAATCCAAATATATGGCATTCGCATTAAGGACCTCCCAACTTCCTTCAGATACTTTCCAGATCACTTCTCACAAATGCGTCCGCTATCATGCCTCCTGCGCTTGTACTACCTTGGAAAGAACCAGTAGTCTAAAGTACTTAGGAGTAATTCTGGATCAAACTCTTACATTTAGGCCTCACATCAGTTACCTTGTACCCAGATTACGGAAACTTATTTATATATTTAAAACCCTTAAACACGTAGCTGATCGAAAGACAATCAAAATGGTGTACTCCGCACTGTGTCAATCACTTCTGGAATATTGCATCTCGGTCTGGGGTGGTGTTGGAAAGTCCGATCTTCTTAAAGTAGAGAGAGTGCAACGCGCAATTCTTAAGGTGGCTGCTGGTTTTCCCTTTCGATTCCCTACAAGAGACCTCTTTAGAGAGTGGGAAGTGCTTACAGTCAGACAAACTTATGTCTTGCACACTGTTCTAAGGAAACACATTGAATTGAACTACGATCCACAGTTATTCAAGGACAAACGTAGGAAACGTGCTGTTTGTTTAAAAACACTCCACAGAACAACTACATCCCATAAATTTTTTGGTTTCTTGGGTAGTTACCTTTATAATAAATTAAACTTGACTTTAAATATTTATCCACTTCCTAGAGCCCTTTGTAAAAAAACTGTTACAGTTTACCTTCGAGAATTAGATTACCAATCCACTGAAGCTCTTCTTATACCCCTTAAGTAATAAAAATACAATTATCATATTGCTAATCAGCCACTTCCAAATGAGTTACCCTGGTATAAATATAAATGTATATTCACAAACACATACGTACTCTTACACACGCGCACACTCATGCAATACGCACACAAACAGACACACACGCAAACACAAATACATACATACACAAAGCAAAATGTGAACTCTATATTAAAACTTTTTTTGTATTTCCTTTTTTAATTATCTTTTTACTAGGCATTGTTTACTTATGCGGGGGAAGCCCTGGTGACCCGTGTAACCGGTTTCTTTTGGAAACCTATAGCAGGCACCAGCTTTTCACACTTGAGTGAATGTTTGTCCTATTCATAGTATATAAAAAACCTACTGTACAACTTTTGGTGAAAAGAAATAAATTATATATTATTATATATATTATTATTATTATATTTCTTTTTTTAAGTACTTTGTTAAAAACTTGAAAATATGTCCTTGATAATAACCAAGTGTAACCAAGTGTATATTTGAATTTTTCTAATCCCCAGGTTGGTTATACACCAGACTACATTTTCCTTCTACGCTCCGTAATGCGTACCAATCCTGAACAAGGCGCTGGTTTCGCTGGCATGCTCGTGGCGGAGGAACCTCCTCTAGCTGACATCAATCAGATAGTGGACGTGTTTATGGAGCAGAATATGGTTCAACAATGTACAGCATTCCTTCTCGATGCACTCAAGAATAATCGCCCGGAGGAAGGACCGCTGCAGACGAGGTGACAATAATATTGGCTCATCATTTTTCTCATATAGTGTACTCCCTCAACCAATTCAAATAAGTGATATCGGAACTAGTACCGGAATTAGTGCCATACCGCGTAACTAACGCTGCAATGAAGTCCTATTTTTAAGGGCCGGTTTCATCATTTGCTGAAATAGCCTGTCAGAAACTTATATGTCAGATAAATTGCAAATCTTAGTTTCACAAGTCTCAGATAGAACTATGTGATGGATAATATCAGTGACTTAATTGTCAGATAGCATTATATGTTAGATTCTAAAGGCTCTAAGTGAATTGTAATACTATGTCATTTAAAATAAGCTGTCAAGTGCAAGTGTTTGTTACAAGGTATTTATTTATTAATTACTGCATAAATATGGAAAGTACAAGATGTTAAAATGTATTTTCTAGTTAACAGACATATTTACCAGAAACTGGCATACAGAAGAAATTATGATAATCAAGGAATTGCATAATAATGAGTTCCTAGAACATTTTATTATTTTTCTAAATTATTATCTATTTAATGTTTACTGAGAGTTTTAGAAATATAATTAATACGCAAATTTTTATTTCGTCTCAAAACTTATGAACACTCGAGGTATGGTTGTTCATAAAACATTTAAATTTGTTTTTCCTTTGTATTGTATACGAACGGACTCATTTGGAAAAGTTCGTATCTGTGAACTATAGATCTGGTCCCTGGAATACAAGACTAACTTAGCGCAGGGCCACTAGAAATAAGTGTCATATTGTTCTTTTTTATAGTAATAAAGAATATTATTATATTATTAATATATATTATTGTGTGATGTTCAAGGTTGCTGGAGATGAACCTGATGTCGGCGCCGCAGGTGGCGGACGCGATCCTCGGCAACGCGATGTTCACCCACTACGACCGCGCGCACGTGGCGCAGCTCTGCGAGAAGGCGGGCCTGCTGCAGCGCGCGCTGGAGCACTACACCGACCTGTACGACATCAAGCGGGCCGTCGTGAGTGGCGTATTATATCACTGATTGTGTGTTAGTTATGCGAGTTAAAAAAAAAAGAAAGCACTAATAGCCCCTTCACTAGATGGCGACTCTAGCAAAAGTTGACCATTACACTGACCTCTATGACATCAAGCGAGCCGTCGTGAGTGGAACATTATTAAACGACTTCAAAAGAGGAGCTTGTATGTTAGTTGCGCGATTGCTCCGCTAATGAGGGAAGGAGTATTTAAAAAAAAAAGAAAGCACTAAAATAGCCCCTCCACTAGATGGGGACTCTAGCAAAAGTTGATTTTTGCAGGAAACTATGGACCAAACATAGTCGTTGCCGTTCCTTTTAACTGACATTTGCAAAGTTCGATATTTAGATATCAATACAAATAGAATATGAATTTTATATATGAAAGAAAACTGGAAGGATTGTCATGGAGAAACCAAGAAAATTCTCTAGCGACGTCTAATTTGCTTTCGGGAACTATTATACTTTCTCATTATGAATCCATTTTATGAATTTCTTTTTTTTTTATTCGACAGGTCAATAGGCCGAAGTTGTCCCGTTTAAATTTTATCGCAATCGAATCGGTATTTTTCTTTTTGCAACATAACAAAATATGCTTTTCATCAGATATCACTCAATATTTTGATGCCATGTTTATATCAGCGAAAAGACAAAAGATAAGATATTTTACGTTATATCCTTTTTGTATATAGATTATATTTTTTGTATCTTTATATAAATATACTCTTTGTAGATTTTGTAATAAGTTCTATAGATATTTTATGTCAGTAAAACAAATAAATAAACATTTCATGCTGTCGTTTTAAATATAATTTATTATAAACAGATATTTTAAAAAGAAAGAAAGAAAAAAGTTTTATTGACCTTCACATTACAAGTATTACAAATTTATAGAAAAAGATAAAAACTGATGTATAATGGTAGGCCAACCAGGTGGCTATCTCAGTGATATCTTTGGTGATAGTTGACGTCACAAAAGCACTGATATTCTGACAGCCCCTGTCGTACTAAATTTTATACAGCTATCATTTTAAACAACCATGTCAGAATAAACAACAAATAAAAATCCCATACAGAGAGGGATATCATTGATAATGTCATATAAGTACACAAAAATAACATGAAGTTAGTTGTAACAACATGTCTTGTCTTACTTCAATGTTTCTGGAAAAAATTAACTGCTTTTTAAACAAGAAATATTTTTCACCTTTTTTAAAATTTGAAGTTGGTTCTATTTCTTGCAAAATGTTTTTATGTAGTTTACTCTTTTAGAACTCACTTTGACCGGCGGAGTAAAAAAAGGCATGTCAATAACGCCATTAGTACAACAACGTAATTGCATGCGAATGCGAAACACTTACGACATCTTGTTAGTGAAACATTGCCATACAGGCAATGTCATGTTGTAAGCAATTAATTGTTTATAAAAATATATTATAAGTAAGTTATATGAACTGAGCAATTGCAATGTAATTAAACAAAATTCAATTTTCACTTGGCAGGTTCACACCCACTTACTCTCTGCGGACTGGTTAGTCTCCTATTTCGGTAGTCTATCTGTAGAAGATTCTCTGGAATGTCTCAAGGCGATGCTCCAAGCTAATATCAGACAGAACCTGCAGATCTGCGTACAGATCGCCACCAAGTACCACGAGCAGTTGACCACTAAAGCTCTGATTGAACTGTTTGAAAGCTTCAAGACTTACGAGGGCTTGTTCTACTTCCTCGGCTCCATTGTCAACTTCAGCCAAGATCCGGAAGTACATTTCAAGTATATACAGGTTAGTAATCAATTTGCTACAGGAGATGTCTAGATTGATATTAACTAATTTTCAGAGTTATGTTTGAATATAAATAACTTATCTTACACATAGTAACCAACTAACTAGCTAATCTATATTTTAAGTTATTAACTTATTTGTCCTCCAATTAGAATGATTAAGAAAATGTATGATTTCAACAATCCTGATTTCCACAGATTCCTCACAATGAGAGTATTTACGCAGTATTTTTGTTAATCTTTGCATATTGTTTTATCAAAATTTTGTGAAACGATACTGTCTCGTCACTCCAAAGATTTATTTATTCCTTTAAAAGATTTACTATAACAGAAATATAACTATTATTTCAATGCCTAATATGTTTTTAAAATTTCTCAGGCGGCTTGTAAAACGGGCCAGATCAAGGAAGTGGAACGCATCTGCCGCGAATCGAACTGCTACAACGCTGAGCGAGTCAAGAACTTCCTGAAGGAGGCGAAGCTTCCCGATCAATTGCCGTTGATCATTGTGTGCGACCGGTTCGACTTCGTACACGATCTAGTTCTCTACTTGTACAGGAACAGCTTGCAGAAATATATTGAGATTTACGTACAAAAGGTATGTAGAATATATAGCGATTTTCTTATTGCTAATAATTATCCAACTTTGAGGTTGCCCAAGTATTTTGCAAGTTTCTTTGAAGTATCAATAATGTAACAATCAAACGATAAATGAAGTATATATTCAAATTAAAATCAGGAGTAAACCATGAGAAGATGAAGTTGCATGTAAACTAATTTCTTAATACATTCTAAAATGTTATTTTTAAATAAGTCATATATTCGAATTCTAAATAAAGCTCAATGGTTTCTAAGGAGACCTCATATCTCACTTCACTTTTATCAAAATGTAATGATATGAAAACAAATGTTGTTTTACTTATTTAGATCTAACTTTATCATTTGTATACAAGCGAAAATAGTCTTTATTGTGCCTTTTGTTTATTTTTAAACTGAAGAGCACTGTTGGTTTAATAAACTGTTGTAATCTTCAGGTGAATCCGTCCCGTCTACCGGTAGTAGTGGGCGGTCTTCTAGATGTGGACTGCGCTGAAGATATCATCAAGAATCTTATTCTAGTGGTGCGTGGTCAGTTCTCTACTGACGAACTGGTTGCTGAGGTCGAGAAGAGAAACAGGTACGTTTAAATACATGCCTTTTTAACGTACGTATTTATTTATTACTTCTATTTGAGTTATGGAGAGAAAATGTGTTTGCGGATATTAGCCAACGTGATAACTCTATGAATAAAAAAGTTATTTATCACTATATATTAAAAAATATATAAAATGTCAATTTCTCGGCGGAATCGGCATATGTACTCTGTCGGCTCTTAATAAAAGCCTCCTTTCTTTCTCTAGTTAATTTTCATCACCCATTTACTAATCGGCTATGTTAGCTTCCCTGGGTGGTATATCTCTGTTTTTAGACCTTCCATCTCCAAATTCAGGATATTAGCTGTTAAGAAATTCCACTTTATAGCTAAAAGTCTTGCAAATCTACTGAATATTCGTCCATTCGTTTTCATAATTTTCTGTAGTTTATTATTTTTAAAGACGAGCAGACAGTTGCTATAGTTGGTTTGTATGCACATATATTTTTCAATAACGTTTAAAACTTTAAACTTCTTGTTTTAAATAAAAAGTCAGCTAATGTCAACCACTTTATTAGCTAATATTTACTTTTGTTTAGGTTGAAACTTCTACTGCCGTGGTTAGAGACACGAGTGCATGAGGGCTGCAATGAGCCGGCTACTCACAACGCTCTTGCCAAGATCTACATAGACTCCAACAACAATCCCGAAAGATTCCTTAAGGAGAACCAATGGTAAACATGTTTTTTAACAAATTTTAAAGTATAACCATCAGTAGCGGACTAGAGGGGGGGGGGGGGGAACTATAAAGTTATATCTACTGGTTTTGTACTACATTTATATGTGTGACGTCATCATAGTGACATTAAATTATTATACAGGGTTATTTTTAAAACACCAGCAAACTCGCAGGACTATATTAACAATATCACAAGTAAAAATATTTTTCTTTATAATCCTGTTTACTCTAAAAGTTTCGATGATTCGTTACTTTCATACGAAAAAAAAAAACGTTTTACCGCTCGAATGTTAATTATTGTATATTGAGCCAACAGCACCACCATTGGGCACCACTATGCTAAATATACATAAACTATAAACAAATGGCACGACAGCGCAATAATAACTTAGAAAATCACCTTTGTTCTTATGTTGAAACGCGTAAATCAAATGTTGTTAACTATGTTAGGTATTAATTCCAAGTGATTTCTAGTGTTTTACAGATAACCCTGTATAAATATTGTGTACAATGCTACTAACAAAACATTCAAGCTGGTAAAAATTATTTGACATTATCAGGTACGATTCACGAGTGGTCGGTCGTTATTGTGAAAAGCGCGATCCTCACTTAGCGTGCGTCGCGTATGAACGGGGACAGTGCGACCGTGAACTTATAGCGGTCTGCAACGATAACTCACTGTTCAAGACTCAGGCGAGATATCTAGTGAGGAGACGAGACCAAGATCTATGGCTTGAAGTACTGGCAGAGTCCAATCCGTACAAGAGGCAACTTATCGATCAGGTTGGTAATGTTAATTTTTTAACACAACTGTTTTTCTCGTAAATTATAGCAATGTCAACATTTTTTGTGAAGGTCGCTATAGCTAATGGAAAGAATCAGAATATTAAGAAATCTTACATTTATCTATGTTATTATTATAAAGAGGAAATATGTTATTGTTTCTTTGCATCGAATAGACTCGTAAAACTAATGGTCCGATTTTGAAAATTGTTTCACCTAGGTACCCCCTAGATACATCATACGCAGTTGACATAGGCACACTACGCGTTTGAAGTCGCGGGAAAACAGCTAGTCTTGTATAAATTGATGTGAAGTTTCCAATTTACCTTCTAACATGTTAGTGTTTTTACATCAACATTTCAATAAAATATATAATGCTTCTCAGGTAGTGCAAACTGCCCTGTCTGAGACTCAAGACCCTGAAGATATCTCGGTGACAGTAAAGGCATTCATGACGGCAGACTTGCCCAATGAACTGATTGAGCTGCTTGAGAAGATCGTACTCGACAACTCCGTGTTTTCTGACCACAGAAATCTACAGAACCTGCTCATTCTTACAGGTCAGTTATAAGTTCATTGTCCATCAATGCAATGTATGTTTGTTCAAATTTGAGTTGTGCTTTCCTTACCTACAGTACAATAGAGACGAATTTCTTTTTTACCCAGTCACCATCGCTATAGTACAATTTAAAAAACAACAGTAACAAATGTCATGTATATCAAAATTATTTATAATTTTTGCATTATAATTAAACAAGTCTTAAAAACTGAAAAGACGCCCAATTTGATGCTAAATTATTCTGTCATATCCTTGTAATAGAATACCTCTTTAAATAAATAGTAATCTTTTGCGTTGTTATTCTAAATTGACCTCTATTTGTATAGCAATAAAGGCGGATCGTTCACGTGTGATGGAGTACATCAATCGGCTGGATAACTACGATGCGCCGGATATCGCTAACATCGCGATCAATAACGAACTATACGAGGAGGCCTTCGCTATATTCAAGAAGTTTGACGTCAACACCTCTGCCATTCAGGTACAACATATAAATGAAACATGAGTACATTTCTTCTGCAATAGATTTGAGACTCAATCGATTTCCAGTTTGAACAACTTCTAATCAACAGAAACTAAATAAAAAAAGAAATTATATAAAATTATTTCGTATCAGTTACAAAAATAAAAACTGTAAGTGGATATTATTTTTATAACCAAAAAAAGTAGGAGATATAATAAGTTTTGGCTTTTGGAAGAGATGACCGTTTGATAAACTTGCTTCACAAAAGTCAGAATATTTGTAAACTGAGTTTAATACAGCATTCCATAACATCAAGGTTGAGGCTGGTATGAGATCGATTCACACACCTTTTTAAAAAAATGAGAAAGCCACGGACTTTCTTTTATTCATTATTCTCTTATTTAATTTTACACTGATACATATACGTAAATAATATAGTTAGAATTTAAATACATTTTAGGTTGCCTGTCGATAAAAACCACTGGCTGATTGCCAGTCGCACAAACGTCTATTAAAATTGTCATTAGTTTAAAGCGACATTATCCATACAAATTCAAAATTCATTAGAGCTTAAAGGCGCCTTTAAATATCAATGGTCGTTTGTGCAACTCACCATTAGAAGCTTGAGTATTCACACACATGTGATCATAAGACTAAATAAATTGTTTTTCTCCCATCAAAGGTGTTGATAGAACAAGTGAAGGACCTAGAACGTGCCTACGAGTTTGCCGAGCGTTGCAACGAGCCCGGAGTGTGGTCTCAGTTGGCTAAAGCTCAGCTCCAACAGGGGTTAGTGAAGGAAGCCATTGATTCTTACATAAAGGCAGACGATCCCTCCGCTTATATGGATGTGGTCAGCACCGCTACCAAACAACAGTCATGGGAGGACTTAGTGCGGTATCTCCAGGTAATATTTTATGTTAAAATATCTCATGAACTTTTATCATCTCGTAAAAACGAACTTTCCTATATCTTATCAATACATTTTTGCCTTCTCATGTCAATATGAATCTTTGCTAGCTTATACCAATTTGATATTTTACCAGCTTATGATTATTTCAATTCGAAGTTTTCTCATCTTATGTCAACTGAACTTTTGCCATTTGATGTTTAATTTTGCCATCATATGTCAATATAAACTTAGTCATCTCATGGCAATATGAACTTTTACTATCTCATATCTATATGAGGTTTGCCATCTTATGTCAGTATGAACTATTCTGATCTCATGAATGAAAATTTGCTAGAGAAAATTGAATTTTGCTAGATTATGCCAATATGAACTCTTGTCATCTCAAGTCATATGTGAGCTTTTGCCGTCTCATGTCAATATGAACTTATGCCGTCGAATGGCAATATGACTATTTGTGATCTCATGTAAATATGAACTTTTACTATGTCATGTCTATATGAAGTTGCCATCTTATGTCAATATGAATGTTAGCCATCTCATGTCAATATGAACTTATGCCATCTTATGTCGATATAAACTTTTGTCAGCTTAGGTCAATTGTCCATAAACTGGTAATTTTATGTCAGTGTGAACTTGACTTGAAAGCTGTTGTTACAAAATAAAACTATTAAAACGACTTCCAAAAAATAATAATATAAAATATTTTCCCCTACCATATTAGGACGTAATTCACTAGTTATTTTTGGTCGGTTCGGTTATTTTTTTAAATTCATACATCACGAAATAATAAAAAAAAAAATTATGAAATCAACTTTACGAGTTATATTATTTGAAAAACAGATGGCCCGCAAGAAGGCGCGCGAATCGTACATAGAATCAGAGTTGATATACGCGTACGCCCGTACCGGACGTCTAGCTGACTTGGAGGAGTTCATATCCGGTCCGAATCACGCGGACATACAGAAGATCGGCGACAGATGTTTCGATGATAAGATGTATAACGCCGCCAAATTGTTGTACAATAACGTTAGCAACTTTGCTCGACTTGCCATCACTTTGGTGCACCTTAAGGAGTTCCAAGGTAAAGTATTTTTTTAGACTATAATGATCACTCAATGAAATTCTTCTTTTAGAGATTTATTCCACAATACAATTTGTCCTAAACTGACGCGGCGGACTTCGAATCGCCCATTTTACTCAATTTTCCCACGTTATCTGCAATTATAAACCTTGTTGGAACTTAAAGGTATATTACAAAAAAAGATTTAAAATAAAAAACACGAATCAGTCCAGCCTTTCTCGTGTTTTATGCTTAGCAACATTTTACAGTTTTATTATGAGAAAGCAAGATTTTAGTGTACTTGTGTACAAAGATTTTCTTAGAAATACCGACTCAGTGCGAATCGGTTATGCGAAACGACAGGTCCGTACAAATATTTGTTATTTGTTAAAAAAAAACAGATTTGTAATAGATTTGTCCAAGGTTTACTTCTCGTTGTGTACTAAAATTGATTAATTTTGATGTACTATATTCTGTAGGTGCGGTGGACAGTGCCCGCAAAGCTAACTCTACTCGTACGTGGAAGGAAGTATGTTTCGCGTGCGTGGACGCTGGAGAATTCCGTCTCGCTCAGATGTGTGGATTGCACATAGTTGTGCACGCCGACGAACTAGAAGACCTCATCAACTATTACCAGGTGAAATACCAAATTTCTCTAGGTTCTGTGTTAAAACAAACCTTACATTATTTTTCTAATCTGTTGTAATATAAAGATAAAAAACTGAAGAGCAGACAAAGACAATCTTCTTCAACCTAAATATTTTTGAATTATTTTAAATATGTAGCAGTTACTGATAGGCCTCTTTCTGAGCTATTTACAAACTGCTTTCACGACGTTTACGTTTCACACAACATTTTAAATATTACTGACGAGAATATCAATACAAATTTACTTTTTTAAGTACAATTTTTATATCTGAGAAGAACGTTTTTAAACCCCCTTCGTTATTAGACAGTATAATTAAAGGGTTCAAACCAGACTTGCTACTGCTATTATTTTTTGAAATCCTTAGTTATGTATATCTTTTTTGATTATTTACATTTACAAAGCAATACATTTCTTAGATCTGGGAGTATTTTCTTCTTTATTGAAACACTTCTTTATGCAATGACAAAAAAATACTTTAAAAAAGCATTAGATCTTATTACTAATGATTTATTAATGAAGTAGTTTGAAAAGTTTGCTATAAATTGAACATGTGTAAGGTGTGACGAATTTGCTAAGAAATTGTTCACAACTGATTACTGCCTTTACTGCCTTATATGGACACAAATCAATAAGAAAAAACGTCTCATCTAGAGTCCTACAAGGTTCTCACTTGGGAGCTCTATTTTTCATTATTTTTTCAAAACACAACAGAGCGTTGTTATAGTTTGATTTTTTGTGTTGAGATAGTTGGGAAACTACATATTTTGCTCTATTGACTGTGTTACAAATATTTTAAATAAAGGCTATCATTCTATTCTCTATAGCTCTACTTCACGACCCAACCATTGACCACGTAGGCAAAGACCCTTATAAATGCCAGTGTATACAACTTATATTGTTATCGCAGGACCGAGGTCACTTTGACGAATTGATCAGCCTTCTAGAAGCAGCTCTAGGATTGGAGAGAGCTCATATGGGCATGTTCACGGAGCTTGCCATTCTCTACTCCAAGTACAAACCTGCTAAAATGAGGGAACATCTCGAATTGTTCTGGTCTAGAGTCAACATACCAAAGGTGAGATCATTATTTTTGAAATGCTTATTTTTTTGTCGGTAAACCTAGACTTAAGAACATATAAATCTTATGGTTATTAAGTTTCAATATCGAATTTGTATCGGGAAATGAACATATTCCTGAACAAAACTAGAAAAAAATATTTTAAATACTTTTATACTAAAGTTTCTATGCTGTTTACCTTGCAGACCTACTCTATGAAAACGTTTCGCAAAAAATAGAAATACTATTACATTAAGTGATTTTACTTTACCATATCAACCCTTATCACTCTATACGTTATTATAAATGTTCAAACAGAGGTTGGAACTGAATACTAGTAATATGTAATTAGTGTTGTTTTAATATTGATTGCGTAGGTGTTACGCGCGGCGGAGCAAGCGCATCTGTGGTCAGAGCTAGTGTTCCTGTATGATAAATACGAGGAGTATGATAATGCAGCGCTCACTATGATGCAACATCCGACAGAGGCATGGCGAGAGGGACACTTCAAGGATATCATCACTAAGGTCAGTTACCTTTTTTTTAACTTGAGTAGTGATAGATTTTTGAACACAAGACGAGATTGCGTCATCGAGACAAGTTGTGTATACTGTCTAAGACGGATCTGCCAAACAAAAGTATATTTTTCATGGCTTCTAATTTTTTTTTTTTTTTAATGAGAAAGTATTTAAATTAAGAAAGACAGCACTAAAAAAGCACCTCAGTAGATGACTCTAGTAAAAGTTGATTTTTACAGGATACAAATGGACCAAAGATAGTTATTACCGTTTTTTTAACTAACATTTTAAAAAACTGAAATTTTGCAATGTTCGAAACTTAGATATCAATACAAATATAATATGACTTGTTTATTGAGTTTTGAAAGTTAATTTACTTTTATACAAGAAAGAAAATCTGAAGGGTCGTTATGGAGAAATCAAAAAAGTACCGTAGTGACATCTACTTTGATTTCGGTAACAATTTTTTTTTAAGTATTTAAAAAAATACCGCAAACTATATGAGAACCTGTTTAAATGACGTTAATTTGTAACTTTATTCGATTCCCGTTAGGGTTAATGTAGTAAATGTACTTTCTATATAATCTTCGGTCCGGTCTATATAATGTGCCGGCGCTGTTTCAAATACTCCATAATATGAGCTTTTGTTACTTACCTTGGAATCTGAGGAATAACTATAATAATTAGTCTAATATTTATTTTTAATAAAATGTGCGGTATCATTTGTGGCCGAGAATAAAAGGTTAAAAAATGTACACTATGAATGTCATTATTTTATTGGACAGGTGGCGAATATGGAGCTTTACTACAAGGCGATTCAGTTCTACCTGGACTACAAGCCTCTGCTGCTGAACGACTTGCTGCTAGTTCTGGCACCTCGTATGGATCACACGCGTGCTGTCACGTTCTTCACCAAGGTTGGACATCTGCAGCTGGTGAAGGCATATCTGCGATCTGTGCAGAGCCTCAACAATAAAGCGGTCAACGAGGCCCTCAACTCACTGCTCATAGACGAGGAAGACTATCAGGTATATTTCATTCAGTTTATGAGTGTTGAAAATACGAACTCATCTTCGCCAGCCTATTAATGTCTCCTATATAGGAGATAGCTGGGGCATAGACTTACCCTTAACGACTGCATGTTTATCCGGAACCAACGGCTTAACGTGTTTCGGAGCACGGAGGAGCTAAAGAAAGAATTGTTTACGAAAGTTGCTTAACTTTCACACTTTCAGACATTGCGCCATTTAACTCCTCTTAAAATATGAAATGGATATTCTATACATAGTTCTTTCACGATCAGTATACCATTATTTTTTTTTCTGCCCGACACCATTTGTTCCGTTTCTTCTATTTCGCTTTCGCAGGAATTTTTTTTTAATTGAAAATAAAATGACAATTTGTCAGAAAAACTAAAAGTAAATTGTAGTCGTGGGGGAAATGGAATGGTACCATCCCTTTTCATTCCTCATGAAAATTGTATTTGGATAGAGTTTGAAATCGGTTTTTGAAACAAAGTCTCCCTTCAGGGTCTGAGAACGTCTATAGACGCTTTCGACAATTTCGACACGATTGCGCTGGCGCAACAGTTGGAGAAACACGAGCTCACCGAATTCAGAAGAATCGCCGCGTACCTGTACAAGGGTATGTATAATATCAAATTATATATGTATCCAGAGGGGATCACCTCTTTTAGCATAATGTTCTTATTCCTAGTATTTTTTAGCATAACCGTTTTCGTATAATTGTTTTTGGCATACGATTTATATGCATAATGTTTCTAGACGTAAAGGAACAGATCAATGGGTTAGGTTTGATTAAAATTGTCATAAAAAGAACGAACTGAGTGATTGAAGCGACAGTGTCGAGGTACTGCCGGCAAACGTCATAATAATAGAAAAATATTTTCTCTTCACATAGAATATCTTATGTGCTAGTTAGTTACAAATACAATGTTCTTATTGTTTCTTGTGTGAAACTGATACCTAATTTAGATAATCAGAAGATTACCTGTATATAGGGCACCAGGCCTTCACTCTCGTCACAAGGATGATATAATTAATCTTATAAATAAGTAGTGGATATCTTTATAAATATTATGCTTTAATAATCTCTTGGTTGTTTGATTATGACATGTGGAAAGTTTTACACATAATTATATCGGTTGATTGGTTTGTATCAGGTAACAACAGATGGAAGCAGAGCGTGGAGCTTTGCAAGAAGGACGCGTTATACGCGGACGCGATGGAGTACGCGGCCGAATCACGTCAGCCTGACGTCGCCGAGGAGTTACTGAACTGGTTCCTGGAGAGAGACAACTTTGAATGCTTCTCCGCTTGCCTCTACCAGGTAATTGTATTTTTCTAATCACAAAAACAGTTTCCACACAACCTTTGTGGCTCATTTACATTTGATGATAGGACCGACCCGAATACGGAGTTGTGTATTTCCAATTCTATTTTAATGTCAATTAAATAGTGATTGGAATATTTGGTTGTAAATTATTTATATTTCTTGTTTCAGTGTTATGACCTCCTGAAACCTGACGTTGTTATTGAACTCGCGTGGCGACATAACATCATGGACTTTGCCATGCCTTTCCTTATTCAGGTAATTCATATTTAGATCTTCAACATTTTTAATTTTCAATATAAAAATGTTTTGAAACTATTTTATATTTATTATAGACCGTCAGGGAATTGACGACGAAAGTAGAAAAATTAGAGGAAGCTGACGCGAAACGAAGCACTGAGAGCGCGGAGCATGAGGCCAAACCAGCCATGATTATGGAGCCACAGTTGATGCTTACAGCAGGTAATGTATTGTATAATGAGTTTATAATATTATTAAACGACTATATAATTGTTATGTAAATTAAGCAGTTAAAGAAATTCTAAAATGGTATTTGTTACTATGTTGTTTATATAGATACAATGTAACAATATGTCTGACCTATGAGACTAGAGTATCAATAGTTATAATTCACAAAATTTCACAGTTTTCAAGAGTTTGTTCGTTATTATTCATAATATTTGAGATTTTATTTAAAATAAACGATTTTGAATATCTTACTCTGTTATAGTCTGTATATATCGATTGTAATAAAATTTTAAACTTCTAATCTATGCGTAATTGATTATCAATTATGCATTGTTTAGACAATTAAAATGTAAAATAATTATTTTATGGAATGACCCACAAAAATGTTCTCGACCTTTTTAACTCATGTAGAAAATTATTTTTTCTATATTATATCGGGTCTGAGTTTGTGGTAAACATGGCTGCACGTCGGGTTACCACAATATGTTAAATTTTCGCTAGTGATTCTTTACCCTACAGTTAATATATTAAGTTTAAATTAAGTATAGAAATTACCAGTTTTGCTATAATCTACATGCGTATGTCACCAAATGTCGCTTTTCTCGGGTCGAGAGTGAGATATTTTATGGGCTCACTGGAGAAAAGTGACATTTGCATGTAAACAAAAGTTTTTCATCAATCTATCTGATGGACTAACAAAAAAATATTGGTCTTCATCCCTATTACTGCTATTGTCAGGTCCGTCTATGGCGTATCCCGGTGTGCCGGCGCAGGCATCTCCGTACGCGTACGCGGCACAGGCGCCCTCGCCCGCGCCCTACCACGGGTACGGCATGTAGGGAACCCTGCCCCCGCAACCATGGGGGACATACAACCACTATTGAACACAACCACCACACTATATACACAATCTACTTATTATATATCTACAATTAAACTAGTCATCACTTTTACCCACTGGTCTATATTGTGAAATCGAGATGAATAATTTATTTCTATTGAAACTAATTGCACTCGTCTGCTAAAATACTATGAAATACAAAATTTTATAGTTACCAGTCTGATAGTAATGTTTACAAAATTGTTAAAGTCTCGTCTTTAAGTTTTACTCGTTGAGCTTTGAGCTGCTTCTCATATAAAGATATCGAGAAGAACCAGCGAGGTGTTTAAAGAGTATGACTTTGACAATTAGTTGTTCTTATGAGGAATGAGTTTTGCTTGATGAGAATTAAATAATACTCTTCAACGAATTGGACTGCACAAATTTCTAAGAAGCAGAACTACTAGTGAGGTAAAAATTTATTAGTTTCATTGTAGAAATATTGAGTAGAACTAATGGAAGCGCACCCCAGATACGTGCTACTTCCATCAAAAGACAGTGAAGTGCAGTGACCGGTGTAGTGATAAAAGTTAATATGCATATGTACTTCTCGTTTAATTTGTTTCAGCAGAAACGAGAGAATACTCTCTGTGCACTTGCAAATTTAAAGATTTTTTTTTTATACAGGAATTATCTTTTGTACATCAGTGAGGCCTAATTGATTTTTTTTTTTATTTTTATTAAAAAGAAAGTATTATAATTTATGATTGGAAGTGCACGGGGGAGGTCGCGTAGGAAAAAAAAATTAATCGAGTTGATCGAATTCGATATGAAATTGATAAAATTGTTAGCTGTACAAATTATATTGATAGCCAATAGCTCTCATGAATTAAAGTGCTTTATTTTTGTCAGTAATGAGGAGCGAATATTAGATAAATTTAATCATGTCACAGCTTTATGACATATGGATTTTATCAGTGTAGCGTTAGCTGATAGTGGTCAATGGTCATCGTTACATATTTAGCCGACAATTCGTCTGCTGTTTTCATGACCATTTAATTGTTGAATCCCTTTGTATCTATCATAGTTAGTCTATGTGCTCGCATGTTCAAATTGTTACAAAAGGTTTAGATCATGTATTTATGAGATTTATAATGTTCATCATCTTTATATTCTTCATTACTGTGTACCTACCCAAATAAATATTATTGAATGATAATATTAAAAGTTTAACGTAAATTAATTACTATTTTACTTGAGCAATTGCAACCAAATTATAGGTTTGCTATCGGAGACTAATAAATCTGCCACTAAGTGCATAGTAAATATTATTATCTACATAGTGGTTGTAAACTGTTAAAAATTGTGACGAAATCGTTTTTTTATTGCTATCTTGATGAGCAGCTTATGTTACAGAAACCGAAAAGAGGTTTTGTAATATTTCTACAAAATCCATGAACAAACGGTGCCTTAAATCACCGTTTTAGACTGTGCAATAATAAATTTGGTCTACAGTAACAAACATAATCGCAATTTGTATTGTAACATCTAATATAATGTAAAAACATAGTGTCTTTATTATATGTATGTATATAATGCTTTCACAGCTGTGCATTCGTCCTCAGGCCAGTTGAGTTAGGTTAAAAATAGCAACTGAATAATCGAGTTTATTCGAAAGAAAAAAAAAAAATTAATTATTTTCTATTTAGAGATGTTTAGGTTTAGCTTAGGTGGAGTAATGAGTGTTAAGATGTTATTATTTTGAGTAATGTACGAGACTTGTAACTATCACGCGTGTTGGTTTAGTTGCGTAATTCTATGATCACATTTTGATTGATGCCTTCACTAGATTATAAGTCGTATATTATATATTCAGTCTTTCTGGGCGCCTACTCTTAATTTCTTTCACGATTACTTTTGTAGAGATCAATTATACTTGTTTCTTTATTAACAAATTCCCAGATTGACAAGGAGCTATTCTAATAGCACGTGTAAATGCCACATGTTACATTTAGTAACTTAGGTCTGTGGTTGAAATAAAAACATTAATCTTAACTGTTCATTCGAATCATTCCTGTCATTACAATTTATGATCAATAATATTGTTATTATTCATTTTTATGTTTCTTTATTAATAACAAATATATTAACTTAAAATTGAGCTAAAGTTGAATTGTTTATTATTAGGATTGTATTTATTAATGTATAATACTATTTCCCTGAATTTTATCATAGTAAGAATATATTATATGAATAAATGAGAGTGACGTTTTATTTCTTGTTTTGTTAGTTATTGTATAATAATAATTATAAATCTGTATTTGGCACAGAAAATAAGTTAAAATCCAATTTTACGTTGATAGCCACATTAGGACAAGACTGTATTGCAGGTATTAAGCTCCTATCTCTAACAGATAACAAACAAAAGAAACGAATAATGTATTTACGTATATGGTAAAATAATTTTATTATCTAAGAACGTTCTATTGCTATAAAGGTTTTAGTATATTATTTTGTGAGAAATATCACCTCATTTTGTTACGTCACACTTGCATTGCTAGTGAAGTGACACGAGTATGTTTTTATGTTGTAATGAAGAAGTATTTAAAAAAAGCACCTCCACTAGATGGCGACTTTAGCAAAAGTTGAATTTTGCATGAAACGAAGATCAAAGATAGTCATTTCCTTAGATATCAATACAAATACGAAAAAGCACAAATAGAATATAAATTGTTTATTGAGTTCTGAAAACTAATGAGGGAGTATTTAAAAAAAAATGTTCTTGAAATCATACTAGATGTTAGGTACTCGCGATGTTTGGATTTTGTTTATGATATTCATTCAAATTTTGTTTCTGACGTAATGAAAGTAAATTGAGTATCAAAATTAATAAATATAACATCGTTTTGTGTTTCTTATAATATCTAACTTTCAAATTAATTTTAATTTATTTTAATCGTAACTTTAAGTTGTTTATTATGTTACGTGTAAAGGAACGATGTTTGGTTTATATGTCAACATTAGTGATGTGATGAGCCAACTTATTGGTTGCTCGTAAGTTTCATCCGAATTCAGGTTTGGAATAAAGAACAAAAGGCGGAGCGCAGAATTCAGGTTGTATTTGTATGCATCCACAAAACGAATGATATTAATATAGATATAAAAAATCAATTCAGTCTAGGCTGTTACATAGTACTTGTGAAAGTCGAAGACTTTGCCAATGGTTCGCAAAACTAAGGCGGGAGATCTTGTGCTGACAAGAATCGACAAAAAACTCAGCAAGGGCCTGCTTTTTTAATTTCAATTATACAATACAACTCAACTATACTATGTTTGAGGAAACGTAAAGACTTCACTTACACGACACCATCGCAGAGATTTTAAGAGAGCACGACTACTCTAGGTACTTAGTAAATAAGATATTTCAATAAAACTGATTGCTAGAGAAGGTTGTTTAGGAAGTCAATCTATTATTTACAATATTATTGTAAGAATTAAAAAGCACATACCGGTTTCGGTATTTTCCGAAACTAACCAACCACAAACACATAGGGTCATCATCGTAATATTACCTCGGCATTTTCCGACACTATACACACGCACGCACGGCCATATGCCTTTTTGCTTAAAAAACTTTTCCCTAGAGTAGCCTAATTGGCGACCAGCTACCTTTTAGATTTTTTCGTCTCCGTTTCTCGTTCCAGCCTAAATGGTGAAAAATCGCCTACGTTGGCAACACTGATCATTGGTTGTTTTGAATCGATATGTCGGGTTCAAAATATATCGATGTATCAAAAAAATATACTGATATTCTTTCCACAATCCTTACTTTTTCTATCTGTCAAGTGTCAAGATAACTTGATTTTATTTACTTCGTGTATTCGATTTTAAGTCTACAGATTATGACATATAAACGTAAAAAATATCATCATGGCGATACCCATTTAAAAAAACGCTGGAGACTCAGAAACAGAAAGAAGGATCTTGATGAAATCGATACAGACTTGAAAGAAGGTGAGGGCACGTGGTTTATAGGTTATATAAAATGAGTTAAGTCTGCTTACAAATAATTTAATGCATCAGATAATTAACAGAAATGGTAATTAAAGTTACATTTACCCTTACGCTATCGTGTATGAAATGAAGTATATTCTGGTCTATTACAGATAATGCTGAGAAATTGTTAAATCAAGATATTGATTTAGACTTACCTGGAGCAGCGCAACATTATTGTTTACATTGCGCGCGTTATTTCATTGATGAACATTCATTGAATGAACATTTTAAGACAAAGGTTCATAAGAGAAGATTGAAAGCATTAGAATTGGAACCATATACCGTCGAGGAGTCAGAACGTGCAGCTGGCCATGGCAACTTTAAATTACCAACTAAAAGAAAAATTGAGACACAGAATATAAATAAAAAGAGCCTTACTGATGCTGATGGAGATACTATTTTAGAAGACGATATCCCGAATAAGTGTAAGAAAATAGATGAAAATGCTACCTAATAGGGTGTTTCGACATATGGTATATAGGTTAACAAATAGAAACTGTTATTTATTAACTGTAAGGCAATCATCTTTATTTATAAGTGGTGCAAAAGCAACTGAAAACTATGCCTTTATTGTCCCTTATGTAGATTTTAATGAATGTTTTGAAAAAATAGATTTGGTTCGAGAAGAGCTTAGAAAAAGAAAGTGTAAAATTGATTTGAATAAAATACAAAATCTTTGGTCAATTTATCAAGAACTTGAACTGGTAAAATCTAATTATGATAGAGAAAGGGAAGAAATATCTAAGCAACTTTCAAAGCTTATAAAAAGTGAACCAGATAGTGAGACTACAAACAAATTAAAAATACAAAACAAGTTAATAAAAGACAATTTGAGGAAATTAAAAGTACCATTATGGTCAGCAGAAGAGGCAGCCATATTAGAATATTTAAAATTGCCTAATGCTTTACATTCTACAACACCAGACAGTGTCAACAATGTTTTTTTCACTCATCTCTCACCACCTAGATCCAAAAAAGATCATTTAAAAATAGCAAAGGATCTTAATATAATGAACTTTAAAAAGAATGAAAATTATTATCTCATTGGGGATGCAGCCATTTTTGAGCTAGGTGCAAAATTCTACATGAATAGTATGCTCCGAAAGAGCAATTTTGTGCAGTTTTCAAATCCTGATTTTGTCAAAAGTGTTGTTGTTGAAGGTTGTGGCTTAGATCATACGGATCCTGATTCAACATTTATCTTGCATCATAATGATGATACCAAATTGAATATTAACAATCGTTTACATTTAACAGGTGGAGGCTCATTGTTTTCATTTATGGCTTACTATACTAAAAATATTTTGTACCCTAAAGTGCTTCCACTGAAAGTATTTACAATGGGCAGGCAATATGTACCCTCCCCCTCTAATGAGGATAGTTTGTTCCATGTAAGCCAATCCTCTGTGGTGGAATTATTTAGTGCTACTAGAACAGCGCAAGAAATGGAAGAATTATTTAGTGAAATGATTCAGTTACTAAAGTTATCCTATAGTCAGCTTGGTTATCATTTTCAGATGAGTTTCCTATCAGCTGATAAGTTAAATACATGGGAATCTTCAAGGGTAATCGTAGAAATGTATTCTACATCCCTAGACAGTTATGTGGAAATTGCTAATATTTCTCTTAGTGGTGATTTTATCAGCAAGAGGCTCATGTTCACTTATGTTGATAACAAACAAACTCAGTTTCCACATATTATATCTGGTACAATGTTAAATGTACCTAAGCTATTAGCCTGTGTGTTAGAACAAGATGAAGAATTTGAACTACCCACACAATTTCAGGTCAAAAACTGGTCTATATAGAAAATGTATTTTGTTTCAGTTAGACAATAAAATATTCATAAAAATACATCATGTTTCATATTAAATAGAATAAATGAAAGTTTACATCAAAACCCTAAATCAAATTGATGTTCTCTGGTTATCCATTTTGGGTTAACTGTGTCTACTGGACTCTCTAAATTAACTTCAATAATATCAATATGTCCTGTCTTTGTAACAAGGATTAAAGTATGTGTCCTGAAACAATAATTTGACATCTCAATTGTATGTAATATCTAAGTATACCATAAATTAAAGGAAAATTTGAATTGTACCTTGTGCCATATCTAATTTCTGGCATAGAAACAAATATAGAACTTAAATATTTATATCCCACTGGACTCCTTTTCTCTAACTGAAAATCTGGCAGATGTCTGTAAAATATACATTATTTAATTGTTTGTTAAAATAATTATGGAATTACTATTTACTTCTAAAACTGTCTCTTACCTTTCTTCTGATCTTAACAATGATAGAAGTTCTTCAACAAGTTCTTTCTTTTGATCTATTTTATTCAATCGGCTGCATATATCATGCAGTTTACTTTTTCCATTTTCAACTTTACATAAAGGATTTTCAGGTAAACAGTTTCCAAATCCTAGATATTTTTGTGTATGAATTGCTAATTTATCTGAAGTATTACTGTATGTTGTAATTTTAGCATATTGTTTAACTGATGTTTGGTCCCTAAAATAAAAAAATGTGTTATGACATTAATTATTGAATATTCTATATCTCACAAAGGAATAATAAAAATGCTAAGCAGTTACCCAAATTCTGCAGTGACAAAGACAAATCCATTACATTGCATAATGTAGCTTTTCATAGCATCAATGTAATCTCTTGTAACTGTTTTAGATTTAACGTAATCTGCTACAATTTTGCCTCTACCTGAAAGCAACTTCCAAACTTTTTATCCATAATATGTAATCTAAAGTATACTCATTATTATCTTTCTGTACTATAAGATAATATTTTTCAATAGTCATTATTACTTCACAATGACCTCATAGCTAAGTTTTTCATTATAACTCTGGTATAGATACAGACTGGATGAATATTTTAAATAGTTATATTTCAGATACCGAAAAAAATTACTTACTTTGAGCTGACTTATTATCTTTTTGGTCACTTGGTAAATTGAGTAGTATGCCAATTTTTCTTCGTGATGGTGATATAGCTAACCAAGTGCCACCACCTGAGCCAGGTTGGAGGTCTCGGCCTGAATGAAATATGAAATTATATTAAAATAGGGATATTATAAGTGACTGATTAGCAAGCACTAACCTCCAAATACTTCCGGATCCTCAACCCATTGAGTAATTTCTTGGGCTGGTCTGTCGTAATACTCATCACGATTAGAAGCTATCACTAGACTGTAGTCTCCTTCGTCATCATTTAAACCGACATATATGAATAATATGCACATAATTAAACACTTTTTGGTTACGTACAAGCAAAGTATTTGTGGTCACTATATACCTATATAAAATAAATCGTTATTGTTGAAATGGAGACACTTTAAATAATTTCAAATTACTATAGAAACAACATTAGCTCTTTTTATGATATGAACAGTTTAAAATTTAGCGCCAGAATAATTCATATCAAACAGCAGCACACAGTATAATACAAAGAGTAAAAGTATATATTTCTATCTACGACATAGAGATGATCTACGATTACGATAGGATACGTCATATGATAAGTGATTAATTAACTACGATTGTAGATTAAAAGAAGGAAATACATAATATCTTAGAGCATATATGAGCAAGTTTATATACTCTAAGCTATCCCAACCTATATTACCCTCCTCAATGCTCTAAGCCTAATATTGTTGTTATATAATTATCGGTTTAGTAAAAATCGATATATCTCCGATACATGGGTATAAAATAATACTCTTTGGGTATAAGATTTATAAGGAAGTATTTAAAAAATAAAAATAGTTCTTGAAATCATACTAGATGTCACTTGCGAAGTTTGGATGTTTGTTTATGATATTCATTCAAATTTTGTGTCTCTAATAAAAGTAAATTTAGTATGGAAAGTAATAAATATATAATCGTTTTGTGTTTCTTATAATATCTAACTTTCAAATTAATTTTAATTTATTTTAATCGTAAGTTTAAGTTGTTTATTATGTTACGTGTAAAGGTAAAGGGAGGGTTACGTTGGTTGATACGTCAACATTAGTGATGAGCCAACTTTTTGGTTGCTCGTAACTTCCACAGAGCCCCATTTTTAATAGACACACTCTACAGATGCACATTGACACTGACCTCAGTAGGGACAATTTAGCAGATATAATAACAAATGGGAAAGAAAGAGATAAATTTATAAAGTACGCATGTATCATACAGAAAACTGTTGAAATGAACCAAGACTTAATGTAAAATGTTAAATGTAAAGAAAGAAATAGAAAATTAAATCTCTACATTTAATTTTCTATTTCTTTCTTTAAACTTTCAACACAATGTTGAAACTGTGATATTAGAATATAAGTAGCAACCAATGTATAGAGTAGAATTGTAAAACAATAGAGAAATTGTAGCTTGATATGGAGAAAAGATAGACTATAGATAAAAGAGCAATGTAAATCAATATAAAAATGTAAATAGAAAATAAGTTGAAATTGTAAAAATAAGACCTAGAATATAGGCAAGACGAGCATCTTAATCCAAACAGCCGAAAGAAATATTATTACATAATTGAAACTTTTGATAAAGATGAGAATTTGTTTTAATTATTATATTTGATCAATGTCGTATTCACAATGCTAAAATATTCTAAATATTCTAAATACAAAATGCTTAAAAAATCCACTTGGTCCCTGGCACCCTGAGATGGGAATCGAACTCATGACCTTTCGCAATCCGGGCGACTGCTCTCACCGCTGACCATTCACATATGTCTACCATAGAATTTACTACAAAGAGTAAAGTTTATATTATATTAGGGAACTTGGGAACTTTACTCTTTGAAGTGGTCAAATGTCAATGTTCAATTAAAATTAAAATACTATTATTTATTTATGTAGCAATCTTTAGCAAAATTTATTTAAAAAAAATATATAATATCGTTCCTTTGCTAAAAATATGTAACTTGGTGTGTAAGAAATGGAACCATTGTCGTATTTCAGTCTTCCAGTAAGCATACGATGATAAACACTGAAGGAAGTTCCTTCAATGAACAATGAAATATTGCATTGGCTTTCTAATTTTGCTTTTGACTTTAGTACCTATTCAGTCCAAGAACAATTTTTCATTAAATCATATTATTCATTTGCTACATAATTACGTGCCTTTGTGTATCGGAATGTGGTTGAATTTTTATTGAAATGGTGTTTTTAGCCCGTAGATTCGGAGTTACCGAACTTGACTAATAGAATTAAGTCCCATGAAGGTGCTGGTGATGAAGTGTTGTCTCAATATTTGACTGGAGATTACGATGAAGTACTGGCTCAGTTCTTGTCTGGTGACGAGCACCTGGAAGAACCTGACTTAAATGGACCTACTACATTGCACTGTGAAATATGTTGGAAACAGTTTGATAATGCTAAAAAATACTATGGACATTTACGTGTCCATTCAAAAGATAACCTCTGGATGTGTGGTGGGTAGTATTCTCATATTAGAATAATAAAATTTTCTTAGATTTCATTTTTTCCTGATATTTTGCAGTTTTTTATAAGTGAGGTAAAAGTGTTAAAATTAAATATTTATTTTTAGACCAATGCCCTGATCAAAAGTTTTCAACAAAGCAACAGTTAATGAAGCACAGCTTAATCCATCAACCTTTGGAACGTGTGTGGAAGTGCCCTCAATGCAACATGGCATTTGAATCCCTGTGGAGGCTTCAGCAGCACCTTTTTGCTAAACACTTAAATTACAGGTTGGCCTTGTTAATATTTCTGCCACCATTGCTTCATGTTATGGTTGATGGCACAATTACAAGTTAAGCTATTGATTGGCCAGTAGGCTATTTTTTATTAGAATTCATAACTATAATTATAGAAAAGAAGTTTGTTGGTTAGGTTAAAATTTACAGAGGTTTAATGGGAATCTTTCATTAATGTACAAAGCCTTACCGCCTTTCTAAATAAAAAAAAAGAGTCCATAATTATTACCTCATATTCTCTCAGCTTTTAATCTTTTTTGAGTAAAAGCTTGAGGATTTTATTCTGTAATTGGTTATGATAATAGAAGGTCTCCGACATAACTATATTTGTATTAATTTCATTGTCATCAGATTGAATCAATATGCATTCAATGTTAATGTTATTTATAATTTACAATATAGTTACATAAATATATGGAATTGCATAGAGTCTTTTTTCAAATAATCTTATTCTTTTCAGACCGCATAAATGTGATCTATGTGAAAAGTCATTTCATAAGTTGTCAGATCTCAAGAAACATAAAGCAGTTCACAATGGTTTGTAATTATACATGATATAAATATCAAAATCAGTGTTTTTTAACATATGAACCATCCAAATGCCAAGACCTCCTTGGCATTTGGGTGCTTGATGATGTTTGGTAAATATGTGATGGATAACATTAATATTAAGATTGTAATTTATATATATATATATAAATATATTTTATGTAAAATATAATGAAATAATAGTTATAATGTTATATTTGTTACTGATAATTTATTTTTGCAGGTGAAAAGAAACATGCATGTACAAAGTGCAATGCAAAGTTTGTAGACAAGTCAAACCTGAAACGTCATATGCTAACTCATAATAATGAGAAACCATTTTGCTGTGTCATGTGTGGAAATAGATTTAAACAGGTAATAAGTCTTAGTGAGTATAAATAATAAGAAATAGTAATTATGTATATTGTAGTATGATAAATCCTGAAATTAATATTAACGGTGAAATTAACAGACAGGCTTCAATAAATCCTGAAATTCAACAGAAACTAATATTAACAGTGAAATAAACAGACAGGCTAGGAGGATAAACAAGTTTTTTACTGGGATACTATCTTCATATAGCGCACCTCCTTTAACCCCCACCCTTTCCCTCCCACTATGACCCCAGATTATATATAACCATATTTATGTATTATAGTTTATGATTTTTTCTTCTATTTAATTTAGGGATTTTGAAGCATGTTTGTTCCAACGCAGCATAAAATGTGTACGAATTCTAGATAAGGGATGACTTCTTAATATATATTATTGATTTTGTAGTAAGATTATTAAATGGCACTGCCCTTGTTCAATTGAGATCTTTTAATAAATGAATATATGTGCTAGTTTTGTATACACATAGAATTGATGTCATGAATATGCTGACCAGTGTTTTTGTGGGTAATGAAATTAATTTTTTTTTTAACTATTTCATTAAAACTATCAGAATGCTATATTATAATAGGGGTTAAAGTATGAAATTGCTGATTTGTACTGAAAATCATTTTTTAAGAAATTGACCAGATCAGAGAAAACTATAGTGAATACCAGTTCCCATTACCATCAACCACCAATCAGTTACCATTACCTTTTTATTGGTAAGATTTGCTTTAGGAAACTGTTGTGGCCTGGGATCAGCCATTGCATTTTTAATTTACGGTTATCATAAAGAATTCACTTTCAGCACATGTCACGATCCAATATTCCTTAATTTCTGTACCGATTCAACAAGGCAACAAGTTTCAACACGCGTTTATTTCTACAGATCAGGCAATTCATGAGGCACCATTTTTCCTATTTTTTTATTTTATTGATTTGACGCAAACGAGTCAATATTGAAGGTAACGTTAAACCATGCCGCTAATTCCTGGGTAGTTCGACTAGGATTGGCTTCCACCATTAATTATCGTTATTCATGTGTATGGGCAGTCTTCCTCGTTGCTCGTTCTTCAAGTTGAAGTTTCCATCACGAAATCGTTTAAACCAAAACCGGTACGTTCATTAGCAGCCCCCTCCCCAAACGCAACATTGATATTGCGTTCTGTTTCTGCCGCGTTACTTGCGCGTCGGAACTCGTATTCAAAAATCACACGTATTTTGGAAGTATCAATGTTTCTTGTCTAAGTTGAATCTTTCGAAAACCACAAACCATGGAGATTCTATGTCAATTCAAAGAACCTATTACAATAAACGGCAATTTCATACTTTAACACCTAATACGAGTACATAACAAGCTGTGTTCCCGCGACTGCGTCTGTGTAAATAATATTAGTAAGAATTATTAAATGCGGTCCATTAGATTTGAGTTTATTCAATGCAAACAATCAAATCTTTCCCCTTTATTATATAAGTATAGCTTTATAGCTATCATTATTCTTATGAAATATTTTTTTTTCAGTTGGCATCTCTGAAACGTCACAGCCAGAATTGTGTTCATGTTAAACAAACTTCTGAAGAGAAGGGAGTCAGCAAGAATTATTGTAGGGTATGTGGGATGATATTCCAGTATGAAAGTGCCTTATTGGAACATAGTGTTAGGTATTTCAAAGTGTTTTCGTTAATTAGAATCCTGCCTAAGCGAATAGAAATATAATTATAATTTTTTTATCAGGGAACATGCAACTACATCTCATACTGAGAAACCCAGTCAAATCACAATAGACACTAGAACTGAAGATAATATTGTCGATGACATTTTATCTGCCGAAGACGATTACATGACTATGTCCACACAAAACGCCCTACTCAATGGATACAGCATGCAAACGGAGCCACGTGTAGACAATAATATGACACACACAAATAACTTACAATTGCTAGACGATGAACTTTTCTATGGTGATATTGATTTAGAAAGTTTTCAAAACAATCAAATATTCAATATGAATACTAATGAAATAGACTATAATACTAATGATAGAAGTACAGAAATACAGTTAGATTTTACGGATTATAGCCGGAGTATATATCAAGATATTATGAATGCATTGTACAATGTCAAAACTGAAACTTTACCAGATGAATTGTTGAATGTTCATGATGTAACCAATTTCATTGAGAAACCGAATAATGTATTAGAAAATCCTACAGTATCGGTGAATGAATGTGCAACTATATTTGAGAGTGATGTGGACTTGGAAGCGAGTGCCAATTTGACTGCAAATCTAAATCAATTGATAGGTGAGAATAGTGTTCAGTACATTTCAACTGAGGATGATGACACATTTATAATCAGTTTAAAAAGTGAAATAGATGCGGAACAGTTAACTGATATGTTGAATATAGGTGTAGAATTAGTAGATGATAATAATAAAGCATCAGATCCTAGTGTTATAGAAAATATGTATGATGTGGACAATTCTGAGAATGCGGTAGATAATGATGACCCTATAGTGATTAAAATTGAAGATATTTCTGAAAACGTGGAAGAAAATGGTGAGCCTATAGTGATAAAAATTGAAGAACCACCCAAAGAGATAACCTCTGAAATATCTGGGGACAAAGAAAATAAGTATACAAGGAAGACAAAAATCAAAAAGCAGACTATCTTTTTATGTCGGAAATGTAATAAAGTTTTCATTAAAAAAGATAACTACAGATCACATATAGGTAAGAGATTATGGTTATATTATTTTTCAGTGATACTGGACTTGAGTGTTTTTTTTTCAGAATGAAAATTTACATATTCTGTTTCGTTCTATATATTTTGAAATTCTATTATTTTATATTTAATAAGGTTTTAACTGCCTTTTATTTGGTGACAGAACAATTTTTAACATCAATGGCTGTGTATAATACAACAACAATGCAAAAAAATAAGTATTTTCGTTCGTTTTTGCACACCTTACACTCTGAAGCCGAAGCGCTAAGCTATCTTGGTTAGACTAACCAAGATAGCCGTTTGACAGTACTAGTTTTAATCGGCTAGCAATAATATACATATTGTTATGTGGCAGCGACTCACGATTCTTCCCTGCGGCGTCACAAGTGTTCTGTGTGTCACGAGAGGTTCAGTTATCGGTCGACGCTCAACAAACACTTTGCGTCTTATCACGAGCCGAGGGTGATCAACGCGCACACTTGCGACATCTGTGATAGACAGTACAAAGCTAACTGGATGGTAAGTGTTTAACAACTTGGTGATTGGTATTATCCAAGGTGCAATGTCTATGAAAGCTGTTCAGAAATATCAAACGAAATGTTACCTGCAATCTTTCGACCAGTTTAAGATTTTTTTTTTATATTTTAGTTTTTTAAATCATCTTTCAATCTAAAAACGATTGAGTTTTTAAAATAACCTTATTCCATAAATCGCTATACATTTTAGGGAAAGGGATAGACGTTAGCTAATGGTAGCATAGAATAACTAAAATGATATATTTTATTTTTAGCTGATGAACCACATCCAGCGGGTTCATAATGGTCTAACTCCTCACCAGTGCGATGTAAAAGGCTGCGGAAAGAAGTTCTTTAAAAAATCCGATTTAGTCGTACATAAGAGGTATGTTGCTTCAATTTCTTTATTTTACAGAAACTACATTGTGAAAGAAAAAAAAAACAAAATTTTATATTACTTCTTAGGTATTCCATATCTTAACAAAAAAAGAACTGACTCTCAAGTTGTATTCAAAACTGGCGAAGATTTCCATGTTAACATTTAACCCCTATTTCACCTTTAGAAACCCCCTCAACCCCTTAAAGTTCCAGAAATATACTATAAAATAACTACTGTCCAAAGATGTCTCCAACGTCAACAATCTTATTATAAAACTAGGACTAAAGTTAGTACTTGGTTTAAACCATTGGCCGCTTAACGCTAATTGACAATGACAGAAGAGGAGACGTCACACTGAGACATGTTGGTTTATTTTGGTTGAATAATGGTTAGAATCTGGTATTAAAGTTAGTTGTTATATAATAACACGGCAATAGTTACGCTCGGTGATGATGAGCAAGTCCGTCAGTGGGTCAGTGAATCAGGCAGCTAATTGTCTAATTTTAGAATCTGTTGCAATCCCTTTCACCTGTATATTTTGAAGATATTCTAGAACTTCATCCTACAATCATTTAACATACAATCAATCATGATTATGAACCACGACATTTTATCGAAAAATATTGAATGAATGATATCGCAAATTTAACGTTAATAGGAATTGTCTAAGGCAAGCGTTAGACGCAAATATCTTTGAAACGAAATGTTATCAGCAATCTTTTTTATTTATTTATTTTCTTTAAATTTATTTATTTATGTATTAAAAACATTACAGAAAGTACATTTGTTATTTTCGCCAAACTGCACAGCAGTTTGTTGGCGAAGATTAGCACTCATTTTCTTGTACATGTAAATATCTACCCACAACTACAAACATTTGCAAAGATAGAAAATACCAATTAGGGACTTAAAATAACATTACATTTACTATACTGTTAACTAGTTATTCAGTAAGACATCTTTTAATTTTCTTTTAATAATAGGTCTACATAACTTTTTATCTTCTCTTAACAAGCTTATTTTATTACACAATTCCGGAACGACATACTTTGAACATCTTTTTCATCTTTCTCTAGTCATTTTTGTATTATATCTATTTTTAACTTTAACTTTAAATTTGTCACTATAATAATTTTCTATTGATATCATATATTTTACTTTATCTTCTACTGGTAATATTTTACAGAAAGGGAACAACCTATCGTAATTTTTGACCACCTTAGGTAAGTTTTTATTATGTTTATTGATCATTCTTTCCAAAAGCGGTTGCGACTTATAGAATTCCATATATCTTTATCCATATATGTAAGGGATTGCGATAGTTTTAAAATTAGACTATCGGGCCAGAGGACGAGTTCTTTTTTTAAGTATAGATCGTTGTCGTTGTAGGTATCACACGGGGGAGCGCCCGTTCGCTTGTGACGTTTGCGGGCGGCGTTTCCCAAACGTTTCACATTTACGGAGACACGAGCGGTCTGTGGATTGCACGAAACGGTGAGTTTATTGACCACTAGTTGTTTTCTCGCGAGTTTGTCCACGTAAATGATAGCCCTTTTGTCACCCGCGTGTGATGTACTCGTAGCTTCCCGTAGGTGAAATAATTTTTAAAAACGGTCCAGTAGATTCGGAGCCTGTTCGATGCTAACAAAAAAACGTTCATACAATTAAAATTATATATTTTTTTTATTTTTAATATTATAAATAAAAAATACAAAAAAAAAACCATTTATTTGGGACAAAAACAAAAACAGAAGCAACACAATCACATAGGCAACTAAATCTCTGTCCCAACACGGTTCCAGCTTAGCATATGCTGGTCTTGTGATCAGCGCTGATCTTCCGCTGGAACGGATCCTTCGAAAACATAAACAGTAACACAACATAAGAAAAATACAGTGACATTAGTACAGGTGGTGGCAATTTCGATAACACTAGGGGAAATTTTGATGGCACAATCTAGATTAAATTAAGTTTAATAAATCCTGTTGAATTGTCCTATCATTCTGTAGTGTAGAGTACTAAGATGACATAATATATTTAGATTACATTAAACAATTAATGAAATAATGTTAAAGTAGATTCAAATTAAGTTTATTTTTTAGTTAAGAGTGTTGCAACATAATAAACACTTAAAATAATTAATCAATAAATAATAGTAGCAATTCCGATGCACAAATTAGACTAATTTATATTTAGTCCTATGATTCTTCTAATTTTAATTGTAAAAAATAATAGAGATATGTTACCTTAACTCTAATAGGAGTATAGTTTTATTCTTTTCAATTCGGAATAACTTTAAAATAAATCTAGTTTCAAGTTATATTTTTAGTTTTTATAAAATTACATTACTATAAATAAATATTATAGTTCATGATTTTAACCGTCAGAAGGGGTTCTAAACTCTTCCATCTCTACTACTAAATATTGTTCAAATGTCACAGTTAGTCGACCCCCCCCCCTCCTAACGTGTGAAGTAATTCAGTAGCGGCGTTAGGGTAGGGCGCGGTTGGGCGACCGCCCAGGGGCGCCGGACGAAAAAAGGGCGCCGCGTCCTACGGCGCCCTTTTTTCGTCCGGCGCTTCTTTCTGATTCTGTACAATGAGGAAATATTTAAAAAAACTAAAGCACTATAAAAGTACCCCCACTAGATGGCGACTCTAGGAAAAGTTGATTTTTGCAGGAAACGAATGGAACAAAGACAGTCATTTCCGTTCCTTTTAAGTAACATATTAAAAAACTGAAATTTTAAATGTTCGAAACTTAGATAACAATACAAATACGAAAAAGTACAAATAGAATATGAGTTGTTAATTGAATTTTGAATTTTGAAAACTAATTTACTTTTAAACATGAAAGAAAACTGGAAGGGTTGTCATGGAGAAATCAAGACCGTACTGTTTTTGTTTTCAAGTTGCCTCACTTTCAGCATGAATTGAAAATAACTTAACAAGAAAAATATTATATTATGGCAAAACAGAACAACATACCGATTACCAATATGAAGATATGTATTTTATTAGGTAAGATGACGTACATTGGCGGGCATTATCGCTCGGTTATTTAAGAATATTTTCGTTTGAGCATGTTTAAACGTTAAGCTGAAGCTAAAATACTGCAATACAAATTAATGAATCGGCAGTGGAGCCTCTGTCTGGCAAGTCAGATGGAATAGCTACTCAAGAGATTGTGGATGAAAAATGAAAACGAAGTGAGGGAACAAGAAGTGCTACGATTACAGATGCTGATCAGGATAAATCTGTTATTGATGTACAACAAATACATGTACTAGATGATGTTGATACTGTTGTCCCAAATATAGCGGATCCAGCTACTTGGCCACTTACTCGAAATAGCAAAATAATTGATCATATAATAAGAAGTGGCCCACTGCAAACTCACTGTCACAAAGTTACAACAATTACACAAAGTTATACATAATAATTTTGTGACACCCTGTTAGGGTGTTACAAGGGTAAAGAGTCTGGACCCAATTTCAATAATTAACCTGTTATTTTAACATCTTATATACTTTAAGTATTAGGGAATGTGTAGTATAGATAGCAAAAATTAATCTGTACTTACCTAATGATGTGATCCGTCAAAATGAAACAGCTACTTATACACTATTTATACAGGGAGGAACAAAATGACTGACACAGCCGAAAGTTTCGAGTTAGGTTACATGCAAACATTCATTTTATTTGACAAATATTTAAAAATAGAGGAGGTGTAAAAATGGAATAAAAATTTTAAATTTCTAAGTGTTGACAGCCCTTTAACGCGCATGCGCAATATCGATTGTGCGCAGATTACAACGGACCGCGAAATACATTAATTTAATTTAATTATTTACCGATATCTTAATGATAGTCGATGTTGAAAATGTTTAATTCTTCTCTGAAGACAGCTAAGCACGCTCTTTTGCATGCCAGTGTATGCACGCGCAAAACACATCACATTTCACACAAAACTAAACACAATCTTCACTAAACTAAACTTAACACTCAAGACGAACTCTCTAGTATCTTATTAACAAAAATTCAATTAAAAATGCACTAGACAAAACAAAAATCGACAAAAAAAGACGCTTCGCAGCGGTGCGTCGGCGGCGATGCGCAACAACACTCCAGCGCAAAAGGTCGGCGGCGACTGATCGGCCGGACAATACCAACAAAATAATGAAGCCGCCTGGCAGCTGGCGGGTGGGGCTTTGATATTGAGGGACGAACTCGGTTCATATTTTTTATTCATCTTTTGATATCACGCATTTTTTAATGTTCTTTTTAAATGCTATTTTAATAACAAATTCCTCAATGTTTTTAAAACAAAGTTCATTTGTGTTAATGATGAATCGCTGGAAGATTTGTGAGTTTATCGAGTTTAATTAACGATCCCGTTGTTAAAAGAGTATTACCCCATTCAAACAATTTTTATGGAGAACTGCTCTTTTAAAATAACTTAGGTTAATGTTAGACTGATCTCTCTACAATAATTTAGGAATTTTACAATCGGTTTCTTAATTAAGTATTTAAAATTAGACGTCTCCAACTAACATCACTTAGTTTTCGTTTCCGATTTTAGTTTTTTGATGATCAGTTGACAGCAGTTTGATAAAACTAAGACTATTTGACTTGTGAAATTAAAAAAACTTAGGTTATTGAGAATAAGCAGTAGAAATTTTCTTCTTTTTTCAAATTATAAACCGGCTGTTAGTCTGTAAATCGATTTAAGCATTTTGACTGCCTTGTTTATTGATTGACTGGTAGAATTTGCATGAAATCAGTCTTATAAATCACAAACTAGTTTAGTTCGTTTTTAGAAATGAAGAAGTCAATGACCGATTAAAAACTTTTCCTTAGTACGTTCCAAAAACAGCTCACTCAGGGTTGAAATCATTTTTTTTCAAAAACTTTGTAATTCAATATCTCCGAAACTATTTGACCTAGACTTATAATTTTTTTTTCATCATATTAAAGACAAATAGTACTCTCCAGGAATCTTGAGAGTGTCGGTCGTTCTGTTCCATTGAGTATATCTATTTTTTTAATAAAACTAATTTCACTCTATAGTTGGAACAACAGCATCGTAACGTAGCGTTAAACGTTTGATTACTGTGTTTGTTTGTTTTATAATAATCGAATAATTGTTTTAAGAGCGTCCACTTATGTCAAGCATGAATGATTGTTGATGTTGAGCAGAACACCTGCTTCGTCAAAAATTAAAAGAGATAGATCTCGGGAATCCCCGATTATAGAAAAACACATTGTTTCTGTATTGTCAGAAAGTCGGGGATTCCCGAGAAATCAAACTGATTGATCACTAAGTTCCATTCTAATGCTGCCAAATTAACAATCTACCTAAATTTAGGGAAAATTACAAGTAAGTAGGCCGGGTCGGCGAAAAAAGACAAGTAACTGATTTGTAGTATGTAGTAGTAATTGAGTTGCTATTTGGGGGCGCCGAAGAAATTTCGCCCAGGGCGCTAGTAGTGCTAAAACCGGCACTGACGTAATTTATGGATGGCCCCTTAGGGAAAAGTAAGCATATTTAAGTAATGCTCAGATTCTCTTGCAAGTCGTGGACTATTTAATGCCGTCTTGTTTTTTATAAAAAGTCTTAATTCCAGTGACGAACCGCTTATTAAGATCCACTAAGTATTTATTGGCGACCCACTTCTGGTTATACAGTAGTTTGGGGAACAGTGCCGTACCGTATTATCGTTTCGTTCTTAACAACTTGTCTAGTAATTAGTTTATGTAGAAGTACAATAACTGCGTATATACCGATATTCTTTTGCAAGGTGTTCAGATTATGGTTTAACCACCAGGTAGATTGAATAATGTGTAAAATATGAATATGTTATCTGTACTTAATAAAGATTTTTGGTGAATAACAGAAGTATTCTTGTTTCAGGGCTAAAAAAACTTGAGTTGTTCGGGAACAATTTGAGATTGGTCTCAAGACTGAATTTAATATTCGCCTCTAAACTTGTAGTATTACTATTTAAGAGACATTAGTTTTATAAGGTAGACTAGACGTACTTAGATGTGATGTATAATGAACGGCATGTCAGGTTACTCTAAATGACCAAGTTTCTCTAGTAAATTTTGAGCCTTAATATCATGCTTTTTAAGTTCAAAACTGATTACAGAAATTTACCTCATGTCATGTTAAAATACCTTTAAATCCCTTATACAGCAGTACCGCTAATTTATTAAACATAAAAACTTTAATCTCTTAAGAAATATTTTAGAAATTGTGAAAGTTTTGATACTTGTTGTATTTTATTTATAATCACGATTTCTTGACATATTTTCCATAATTTCTTTATACCCTGGTATTAAATCATAATAACCAAAAATTATGTATATTTTTAGTGTTCTTTTTATTATGTACTTTTCACTTCGGATTTTTGTTTATGAATTATTTAACTTCTAGTAATTATGCTAAAAAGGTATAATATAATTAGGAAGCCGGATCATGTAAAATCACACATCTTATTTGATAATAGTAAAAATTTTCATTACTGTATATTTTGTTGTAATAAAAAGATCGTTTTACCAATTTATTCTTTTATTTATATAATTTATAGAAAAATAATATGTACATGTGTTCATTCAGTTATAAACAATTTGTAATACTAAATGATCATCTTTGAGATTTGATAAATTTGTAATAATCTAAAGTTTTTGAACATATTGTCTTTTGGAAATGAATGATACATCCAAATAGGCAGCAATGATGTATTGTTAAATAAAATAACAGTCTAATAAAAAATATAAAATACTTACTCTGCTCACTATTACTTTATTCTTTACTTACTACTCTGTGAACGACGTTTGACGTTTATAAAAAAAAATGACAGAATGTTGCATTAATAAGTCCTATTGTCGTGTGCTATTTATTTCCACGACGATCGGTCCTGCGCAGTCCGTATCCAGCTGCTTCCCGCAAGCTTTATAAGATCGTCGGTCCACCTGGCGGGAGGCCTACCCATTGAGCGTCCTCCGGTACGTGGTCTCCATACCAGAACTCTTGCGCCACAACGGCCATCAGTTTTTCTCGCTATGTAGCCTACCCACTGCCACATCAGCTGAGCAATTCTTTGAGCAATCTCGGTAATCTTAGTTCTCCTACGGATATCTGATTCCTAATTCGATCACGTAGAGAGATACCAAGCGATGCTCTCTCCATTGCCCGCTGGGTGACCTCGAGCCTTCTTATTAGACCCATAGTGAACGACCATGTTTCGCTTCCGTAAGTCAATACTGGCAACACACTGATTGAAGACGCTGAACGCTGCCCATCCGAGCTATATTCGACGAGAGGTCTCTTTCTCGAAGTTGGACTTGCCTAGCTGGACTGCCTAAGAGATCGGCCTTATCACCCTTTTTGAAAAACAGGACGACCTCACTCCCACTCCATGCTTTCGGCGTTTTACCTTCGAGAATAACGGAATTGAAGAGCCTCATGAGGACTTTGAGTATCAGCCCGCTCTCAGAAGCTCTAAGGTGATTCCGTCGTCACCCGTTGCCTTGTTATTTTTCAGTTTTTTGAGAGCCATACTAATCTCATACAAACTAACGTCCGGGATTTCTTCGGTAAATTGTTGTCTGTATGTAGTGTGTGCTATTTACCAAATGATAATCAACTAGCAATTATTTATTTACCATCTCTACTACCGCGTTGTTGTACTTACATAGACTTACTTGACATCCGATTGAATCAAATTGCAGTTCAATACAGTATTGAACGTTGATTCAACCCGATTTATTGAACGTATACTCTGTAAATATCAGTATATAATTGAACGAGAAGTGTATTTTGATTCAAAAATAGATTTAAGAGCAGAAGCAGCTGGTCAGACGGTGGCCAAAGATTTAGCAAAAAGAAAAAAAATAGTCATTGTTAACATATTTTTTCACTATTGTGCTAATGCATAAAAATTACTATTAGTTTAAAATAAAGCTTAATAGGGACGACGACTGGTTAAAAGAAATTTTATCCATCATTCACTTAGATAATAGAAAAATATTAGATGCGTATTTTTTTATTTATGTCAATTTAACATGAAATAGCTTAGATAAAGTTGAGGAGTATTTTGTAGAAAATGTACAAAAGCGTGATGTGACATTTTAACTCAATGTATTGTCGTTATTTAACGATTACAAAAAAAAATACGTGTTTGACATTTTTCAACAATCTACCTGATGGGTAAACAAATAAAAATTTGTCGTCATCCATACTCGGAGATGTCAATTAAGAACATGTGTAATGTCGATTAACATATTTATTCATAAAAAATAGATTTATTCGTATCATATTTACTATTATAGAGTATGACAATTGATTATTGTTAACAAATCAAACATAACGTGTATCCACAATGTCTACATTGTAGATTCACTAAGTCATCTAATAAAAACAGTGAAGCTATTCATTTAAATTTAATCATGTTCGAGGAAAACCAGCCTCGAGCACAATATAATGATTCTCTTAGTTTTATACATACTTAAAAATCCGGATCATTCATTAACATTGTACTTTTTTCTACATTTTAAATGGAAACCGTTAAAATGTAATCCTGATTTATATACATCCATCCAGGGTTGAACATTATTATGCTAATATAATGAATGCAGTAGCTCGGTGGCGTAGTGGATAAGTGTCGCGGTCCAAAATATTTATCGGGCCTCTCCGGTGTTCGGGAAGGCACGTTAAGCCGTTAGTGCCGGCTGTAAATACCCACGGATTTAAGGGCCAGCGTGGAAGGTTATGGCCCCTCCTCTTTAACCATTTCTGCAGTGGAGACGTAAAAAGGGCTGATGATGATCATAAAGACGAAAGTTTGTGATAATGCATGTTTTTATATGTATGTTTGTTACTTTTTATAGGCATCAGTAGGGCCATAAATCGTGTTTAAGCATTCATAATACAAGAATCTATTTAAAAATTACTTAACACAGTCGCCGAACAGAAAGAAACAATTTTATCACAGTATAGTCGATCTAAAATGTGACGATATTTATCTGTACGCGCAAAGGTCAACACGTACGAAATCGTTCCTGTTCGGCGACAATGTTATATTAAAACTTCAACCGAGAATGAATAATCATTTGTCAGGCTTACATTTTTCCCATTTCCGATGTTATAACTTGTAAATTTTTGATAAATCACATTAAAATTTGCATTCTAAATGCCGTATTCACATTTTATAAAAAAACCCTGGGAAATCAATTTCTATTATTATTACATGGCTCTCACCATTCTTCACTAATGTTAGACTAGTGATTCTATTTTCACTTCTTAAGTGCCTACTTAGGTTTCGAATAGTCACCTTATAATTACGACTTAGAATATATTTTACCGTGTATATACCTAGATGATCAGACTTGATTGAATTCTTCATTCTCCCTAAGCGTCATGTCTTTCATAAATGATTCCAAACTGTTTGTGCTGTTGACTAGACTATCGTACGTGTGGTGGTTATTGCTGAGCTGTAGGTATATAAAAAAAAATTATTGTAATAAATAACTCTGGGTTCCTCTAGCTAGAGCAATTGATCCTGTAGGTATATAAAAAAAATATAATAAATAACTGGGTTCCTCTAGAGCAATCGATCGCAGTGAGTGGAAGCGTGCGGTTAATAGCGTAAATAAATAAAACTCTAGGACTCGCGCACGAAGGGTTTCGTATCATTATTATCTATAAAAACCTTAAAAAATTACGTTTGTTGTATAGGATATTATTCTGTTTACATTATTATATATATATTTAGATTATTCTGCTTTTATTATTTGTTCTTATAGCGGCAACAGAAATTCATCAACTGTGAAAATTTTACCGTCTAGTTATTACGGTTCATGGGGTACAGCTTGGTGACCGGCGGAGAGACAGCAGTCTTAGTAATAGGATCCCGTTTTTTATCCTTTGGGTACGGAACCTTTTTTTATCTTAGGGGAATGCTTAAAGCACTGTCCCCGCTGGCCAGTTAGAGTTCCTGGCGCCCGCAAGGAATATATCCAAATATGCGCTGGTACGCCGATAAAAAAAGCCAAAAATCGTAAGGAATGGAATAAATGGACCTGTGCGGTACAAAATGGCTAATAATAATAAGAACATAATAAATAACATGGAGCTTAATACGCTTGTGCAGTGGTTAGTGTATCCGGCCTGTAATGTGTAATTAAAAGAACTTTTTGAAGGACCAGTCATAGCATAGGTGACAAATTTACTCTCCATCTCCTTCTTGCTTGGGAACTTCACGCCGGCTTCACCCGACTGTATCGGTGAATACCTACTGATCCACACTCGCTCGGTACTTATTTGATTCCATTTGAAAAAAGTCTATGTCCTAGCAATTAATAAGGTGATGACGATAAAAGAAAGATGATGATGATTGTACTTACAAAGTTGCGCACCCACTTGGAGAGGTGTTCCGTATAGTAAGGATTGGTAAAGCGCGCGTCTATCATGAGTACGGCACCCCAGTCTTCACGATGTCTCACACAACGACCTACCGCTTGATTCAAAGCCCTAGACAAATAAATATAAATCTATATAAGGTGTAATATTATTATGTGCCAGGACTTCGTATGGCGGATAAGTTAAATATACTGAACTTTTACTATGGGAGTACCATCGAATTCACGAAAAAATAGTCAGCTGTTTCGTACTAAATTGTAATACCTACAATGGCAAACAGTATGACACAGCTGATAATTTTTACGTGAATTTAATATTGCTTCTATAGTAAAATTTGTTTAATATTAGATTACAAAATATTTGTGGAAGTCCAAGGAAGGTATGAAAGGTTGAGAAAACGTAAAGAAACTGCAAGCAAAATACTAAAACCAATAATTTTGTTTTTCCATGTTCGTACTCCTTAGACAGAGAGCGTTCAGAAATTAATTATAATTAGGTAAGTAATAGTGGATGGTCAGATCTTTTTCTGTTTTCATTTTACCTATCAATAGCCCGGTGCACAAAAATTTTACTAATACCAAGAGTATGGAGGGTTTCGAAAATTTTATTTGACTACATATCTACTTTATGTAATACAGCGATGCGGTTCTTTTTATGACCCGAAAATAAGAAATGACAATGAAAGAAATATTAATAATTTGTTTAGTTTTAATTCTAACAGTATTTATGGTCAGACTAAGCTATATATATATATATATATATATGTATATATATATTATTTTTTTGTGGGATAGAGCGCAGACGAGCAGACTGATCACCTGATGGTGAGTGATTACCGCCGCCCATGGACACCTGCAACATCAGAGGGATTACAAGCGCGCTGCCGGCCTTTTAACTATCAGCAGTTTCTCTTCTATTACAAAACAGCTTGGAATTCGAATACGAGCGCAGCGCATGGCATAGAAGTTCAATCAAATACAATCTGCCCAATGAGGCAATAGTTTTCATTTCCTTGAATAATATCCAAAAGTAGATAGAAGAATCCAAGTATTAACTGCTTGTATGTTCTCTGCATTTTTGGACAAACGAAAGATCGAGGGTAATATGGAACATGATGAATTTTTGTTACAAAGACATTGAGCAGAGCTACCAATTCAGACGGTGACGAGACGTATAATTAAAATGAATCTTCCGTCCCACTCACACTTGATCGTTCAATAGCGTGATATTTGTATATATAGAGAATGGCCTTGTATTATCCTGATTGGCCCATACTTGCTGCGCTTCTTAATTTAGCCACCTGCACAGGTACATACAGCAGCACCTCAGGTTACTATAATTTTCAAACTTACTCGATTGATTTTCGACTCTAACCTCGATGCGTCAAGGTTTAAAATGAAATGTAGAAGTTTAAGAGATTGGTATAACCTGACTGTACATCAGTGAGCCATAACGGTTGTATATTACTGCACTATATTACGCAGACTGATTGATAATGTTACATACCTGTACGCTTGCACACGTAACCACTCGCTGCTGCTCAAGAGATTCTTTTTCTTCTCATATCTGTTATTGTAGTTCATCTTTTCCTTGACGGTCATATCATATGTGTTAGGGTATGGTATACCTATCTGTAATTATTGTAACGAGAAAAATATTGGTTATTATAGTAATACTAGCTTATTGGCAGTGGCTTCGCTCGCTTGGTTCCTAAGAAACTGTTTAATTGGATGCCGGTTCATATAATTGACACGGTTATAATTACAACGACAAATTAAATAGAAACAATGGTGACTATGGTAACGTTTTAATTCCTTATGCAAACTTCCACTCCCATTTTCATCCCCTTATTTGATTTTCGAGATAAAATATACCGGATCGCATATAATGAAGCTTTCCGTAGGTGAAACAATTTGTAAAATCGGCCCAACAAACAAACAATAAAATTTTTCCTCTTTATATTATTAGCATAAATAATTAAAACAAACAAAGATCAACATTCGCAATAATAAATTGGCTACTTGATTGCTAGGTATAACCACATATTATCAAATATGTTTTGCCAAATTTAATTTATAAAGTCTAGGCACAAGCGCCTAGTGAAAGTCGACAAAGTATGCCATTGGTTCGTGCACGTACGGGCGGTAGATCTTGTACAGAGAAAAACCACTCTTCACGGTAAAGATTCGTTTTCTAACATTGGAAACAATCAAAATGCACTTAAAATTCTATACTATAACATTGGATTCAAGCTTTGTGACGTACTGAACAGTGGTACGGGTATCGAACGTATAAGCACTCGAAAGAAGGTAGATTGATATATCTGCCAATAATACACACCCGCATAATCTTCAGTTACCCCGTGATCATGGCGCTTGCAATAGCGCCAGATTATCGGGAACTCAATAAAAGCAATGGTAATCGCGTTTTCAGCAATAATTCTCTGTCATTCGTTCTAAAATTCTAGTATAATTTTTTATGTATTGACTATCCAGTTTAGGCGTTAAACCGTAACAGATTCGCACCCGAGCAGGCAGAGTTACTTTAGTATTAATAATATTAGTTTCGAAGTATAATATCCACCCTGTTGAATCGGAAATCGCACATAACATTTAATACTACACAAAGAAAGATAAGTGCCTTTAGATTGAAGACAATGTCAACGAAATCGATGCCAATTTAGTTAGGAGTCCTTAACTACAACTAACTTACGGTGATAACCGCTCTGGCCTGGTGATCTCTAAAGTCCATGCCTTCGGAAACTTTCCCGCGGAAGACGGCAAACAAAATCGCCCCGCGTTCCGTCTCCACTTCTTTATAATAATCCTGTCAACAAATGATTTTCATTTAATATTGCTTTTTTTTTTGCAAAATATAGTAGGTTCTAATAGGACGTCACTTTCTGTCGCCAGACAGCAGCGCTAGCACATGTGTGTGAACAACTTTTTTCATAAACGTCACTTCTATAGAGTAATGAGCAAAGTGTAAAGTAATAGTGAGTAGGAATTTATATATAATCAGAAAGAGTCATTTTATCCAATAATACATCCTGGCTGCATAATAAGGAAGTATTAAAAAAAAACGAAAGCACTAAAAAGTACCGCCACTAGATGGCGACTCTACTAAAAGTTGATTCTAGCAGGAAACGGACGGACCAAAGACAGTAATTTCCGTTCCTTTTATGTTAGTAAATTAAAAAACTGAAATTTGAAAAGTTCAGAACTTAGATATCAATACAAATACTAAAAAGTACAAATACGAAAAAGTACAAATACCTATAATAAGAGTTGTTTATTGAGTTTTGAAAACTAATTTACTTTTAAACATGAAAGAAAACCGAAGGGTTGTCATGGAGAAATCAAGAACGTACCGTAGCGACATCTAGTTTGGTTTCGGGAATATATTTTTTTTTAAATACTTCCTCATTGGTATTTGGTCCAAGAGGGCGGGAAGATTAAAATTATGCTTGCTAAAAATATTTTCATTAACCACAACTGATACCAACATGGCGGTTTAATAGGTAAAAAAAATCCTTACGTCCATAACGTCGTTGTGGTCTCGTACGTTCCTGCTCTCCATGAATATAGTCTTCAAGTCCTCCAGTTGCCTCCACACGTTAGTTTCTTGCCACCTTTACAAAATTTCAATAACTCCCATCAAAATCATTTATTCAGTCTAGTCTACGTCGAAACTCTATGCCATCGGTTCGTAAATCTATGGAGACCTTGTAACGAGGAGAACCGGCAAGAAACAAAGGGTTGCTTTTTTCTCCTTATTTCATATAGAGATTTCGAATTGAAAAATTATTATAGTTAAACTATGAAGATGCGTTTCGATCAGAATATTTAAAAAAATATGATAGATACGACAAAAGGCTCTGTACTCATCAACATCACATACAAGGTATAAAGTGAGTAGAAAATATATTTAACAGATTTAAGTAACATTAAAATATTCTCCGCGGCGCCGCTTTGCCGTCTTCTTCTGAGGTAAATCGGAACAAATTGTTCACAGAGCTCTGAGCGGTTATCGCGCCGTTTTAGTATTCTGTAACTCATTTTTAATAAATCAGTAATCCCAGCCAGTCGCTATATATACTTTTTAATTTTGATGAAATCACTCATCACTTTCATGGTCACTAATGCTAACGGAACGAAATAACGGTCTATCGATACAAGATCAATAGTTAAAATGGAGTTCAGTAGAGATTATTGATACTGACATTTAGGAAATTGCGAACCATCGATTGTCAGTATAAATAAGGGCGAGGCCCCATTGGTGCGCTGCGTCACGTCGTCGCAACGGAACAACGCATTGTATGACACCTGCGTTGCTTGACGCTACGACGAAGCGAAGCGAAGCTCTGAAAACGCAACGCTCTTGTGTATCCAACGGATGAAAAGTCGCGAGCGACAACGCAACGGTCTAATGAAGCATGTCATAAAAAATATATAGAAAATGACGCAGCGACGACGCAACGCAGCGCAACGCCCTAATGGGGCACATTGGAATTGCTTATTTTTTGGTGACGATTACGATTTTAGATTATCAGTTGAGTTAGCGAATAGACCTGCTGGTGTGATGTTAATTAGTATCATCCCTGCAAATTGCTAATGCGCCTGGCCGCCATTTTGATTACGTAATTGGGTTAAAAAATCAGTACCGTTAACAGATAAACAGTGGTTGACGCGTACACAATTGCTATTATGATTTTCACAATAAGTAAAGATTATTTCTAATATTAAATATATGTATCTTATTTCATGATTACTTTTGGTTTTGTTGATGTTCATGAGAAAAAAAATATATCTTATCCGTTTGTTATTGCGTTATTACATGTTAATTGTTTCTATTTTCCATATATATTTGAATATTGCAATATAAATTGATTCTTTTACAAAAATCAAAGCAATTAATTAACAAATCTTAATTAAATAAATAAAACAATATTTTAGACATTATTCATAAATATTTATTTTGTGCTATCTATACCGTCTGTTTTCATATGACATCACGCGAGTGTTATTCAGAAAAGTTTCCAGCGCATTATCAATTTGCGGGACTTATACGAGTACTGACCGTGCGGCCAGCCGGTTCATGAGGTGGTATGAGGGTATGAAGCAGAGCACGCCGTGCGGCGTGAGGCGGCACACGCGCAGCACGGCGGCGCCGAGCGCGTCCTGCACGTGCGGCTGGCTCGTGCTGCCGCTCTTGCACTCCAGCCGGGACCCGTCCGGGCACGTCGACAGGGTGCCCACCCACACCTCAACCACCACACGACATCATTTTTTTAAGGACACTACATGCATGCATGCGAATGCGCAACATTTGCGAAATCGTGTTGTATAACAACGTTTCAGATGTGTTTTGTCCCATTCTGTTATTAACTCGATGAAATAGCTCCATTCTTATCAATACGGTTTTGTAGTCAACTGCGAAAAAGGTCGTTACACAGACGCACATGTTTCGTATTGAGGGTTACCACCCATCCCGATTTTACGCCTTAAAGTGATAAATTCAGTACAATTTATTTTGTTCTCAAAAGACGACCCTGTTCGCATTCGCAATAGTTTCGCAGATGTTTCGCATTCGCATGCGATTGCTTCGGTGTAATAACGGCGTAATGATCTTGCTCTTGACCTCAATCTAGTCCAGCGATATAAATGGAGAAACTAGCCCAGAAGGAACTCTTTCTACTCTTGCATTAAATAGGTCTGAGTTATATGCACTCGGAAATATAATCTGCGGCAGGGAGTTTCACTCCTTGGCAGTGTGAAGTAAAAAAAAAGAAGTATAGCGCTTTGTGCGGCATCTTGGAATATATACCAAATGGAGATGACATCCCGCCGTTCGTCAAGATAAATCATTATACTATGAACCCAAGGGTTCCCAAACTTATAAACAATTTTGTCTACTGCCAGCTTTGAGAATAAATTATTTTTACTTACTTAAAAACCACTTTAACTTCAAATAAAATTAATTATTTCTCTAACATTATTTTTATTTTATTTATTCAACAAAACGACAGATGTATACGAACCACACGGAGAGAAATATCGATCGATTTTTGAGTTACTTTGAGGAATCTCTTAATTAATATTAGATGATGTTCACGGTCGACGTTGAAGAGTTCTTCTAGAAAAAAATTACAAATCGCCTCTATTCACCACCCTTATTTTTGCCCCTCCTATGGTGCTGACCCCTGGTGGATATTACCTAGCCATACACGCGCAGATCTGTCTGAATCGGTAAATATGTGTGTTTAGAGCGAGAAAAGGAAACGAGCGGGTCAGGCACGGGGCGGTCAATCCGAGCTCTAACCGTGCACGTATGCGTATCAGATATGCCCGTACATTTATTCATTCTTAAAAAAAATAGACAAGCTCATTGACTAATAAAATCTCTTAGTATATGCGTGTAGCTATATCGTTGTAATTTTTCATTGCCAATCATTTACCCACTTTTCTACGCATTCTTTCTTCAAGGTAGATTAATTCATCACATATTAAGGCTATGATTAGCTTCTGAGATATGACGTCCGCTTTTAACAAAGTCGTGATAGCAACAGATGCCTGAGACCAACACGAGACCGTATGTGGCGAAGTAATGGATCATCCCTGCGATTCTGTAAAGACCCGAATTCGAATTCACTCAGATGTCCGAATTACTTCAAAAAGCGGCATCCGCTCAATCTTGAATTAGTAATAACGTTTCGTGGTATAAGTGAAGTGAGTTTCTAAATAACATAAGAATAGAATATCTGAGATACGTATAATCAATCAATTTGCTTTTGTATTTTTAATATAACTTTATAACTTTTTAATATACAAATTGAAACTTTTGGTTTCTTCACTAAATGACGTGAATTCGAATTCGGGTTCGGATTTTACAGAATCGCTCTGCAGATCCGAGGTGTCCGCCGAGTAAATTTGTGCATGTATGGCTAGCTATTGGCGATTATATGAGCTATCCTACACTTCGTCGGTGGTTGTTCGGAACAAGGATGTCCTACTCAACCAATACTACTGTCGCAAGTTTTCAAAGTTATAAATAAGCTTTTACGTTTGCCTGGTTTTCGGCGTTCTATTTCTCATGTGTAGAATGATTACTGAATCTATTGTTGAAGAAACTAAACATATACACAAATGTACTTACTCTATCACTGGGTATGGGGTGATTGGGTGCGACCTTCAATGGGAAATCGGCGTTCAATTCTGAATACAGGCTGGAGAGCGGCGTCAGAGTGCCGGATGCTAGCACTATACACTTGGACACCTTCAGGGCGCTGAACACTATGCCCGGGTTCATGCACATCAGCCGCAGCTCCAATATTTCTTTTTTTATTTTCTGCGTAATTAATGCGAAGTAAAATATACATAACTAGCTTTCCGACAGCGGCTTCGCCCGCGCGATCCCTGGGGAACTGTTTATTCGAATATCGATTCATATCATCGATATAATTACCAAATAATTACAATGAAAAATTGAATAGTAAATAATGGTTACTATGGTAACGTTTTAATTCCTTAAACAAACATCCACTCCCATTTTTATTTCTTTACATGCTGTTTTTCGGGATAAAATATAGCCTATGTTCAACCGCATATGATGTAGCTTCCCCTTGGTGAAAGAATTTTTAAAATCGGTCCAGTATTATATTTTCTCTTTATAATACCTATTAGTATAAATTATCACCATATATAATGCCATAAGTTATGTGGAGCACGAGCACTAAATGGTTAGTGTGTGTGATGTGCTATGCGGAAGTTAACTTATGGTCAGCAATAGGATAGGTGACCCGAAATTTATTATTTCTTTATTTACTATTTAATGTACACATTTACAAAAGCGTAAGACTTGGGCATTCTATGGTTAACCTTGGGGTGATGTGGAGTTAAAATTATGCGAGCGTAGTTATTTAACATTATTTTATTATTAGAATGATAGTTTTTGCGGGATTCCTACCATGCACCTTGTTTTTGTCGAGTTCCCGATATTTCACAATCCCGCAAAAAACTAAGCCGGTTTCAATGTGTTGCCATCTTGATTCCAGGTCGAGTCAATGTAGAATATGAACTTTTCTATAGTGTCTCGGGTCTTGGTGTTGTGGTACCTTCTTTGTCTCAGATACTCCACAATACGGGGGCTTTAGCTACTCATCTTGGAATCTGAGCAATGTATGTGATGTTCTTTAATATTTAATAATGTAAATGACTTGCTGACTGATTGACTGAATTAAAAGCTTAAAACAATATATTAATTTATTTCTTATCTCATACTCCGTGTCTTGGTTGGCACCTTATGTTGTTTGTCGCGGCTGCATTTACAGCCGTTACCCACCAATTCGCACTGGGGCCGCGTGGTGGGTAATGGCCGATTCACCCTTCTTTCTTAAGGAAAACCTGTGCTCCAGGAGTGGGGGTATTAATAGACTGATGATGATAGTAACCCTTAGTAACCGAAGATCGTGTTCGGGGGCTTAGAGAAGCCTATGTCGTTTATATGGCATCATAAATGTGAATTTAGTTATCCGTCCTTTTCTATCATACAGGTGAGAAAGAGATGACGCAGTTCAGAAATAGAGAAAGTCGAGTACAAACCTCTAAAAAAAAAAATTATTATTACCTGATCAGTGGTCTTGTTGTCTTCACTCTTTGCAGCATGAAATTTTAATTCTTAGAAAGTAAACTTTTTTTATTGCAGGAAAGATGTTATTTGTGAATAACTAAAATATATTATACTCGTACCTGATTGTACTGGGAATTCCTCCAAGAGACCGTTTCAGATACGTAATCTGTGCTGACAGTGCGGACCAGCGCTGGCTTGAAGTCTTCCATGTATTGTCCGTCGTTACCAAACAAGTATGCTACAAAAAATATATAAATCACTTTTTATAGAATAGGGCCTTAATTCTGCTAACGTAATGAAAATGTACATTCTCTTACTTTGTAATTTATTATTTATAGTGGAAATAAATGGTTTTTTTATTACTTATAAAAGTATATAAATATATTGATACAGTGACTGCCGAGAGAATGCGTTTCTTATTTTTTCAAATAATAGTGACTAGTGATGGGTAAAAGTTACCATTATATATATTTAAAGTACAGTCAACAGCACGTTAGGTTATATCTACAAACAAAACAGTAAAATTTCCCCACTTGTTTTTTTGCTTTAATATATTGTGGATAGAGTAAAATTTGTTGCGGAATTCGACATATTGTGGTAACCTGCAGTGCGGCCGTATGTAAATATATTTTATACGCAATAGATATTTTCTAAGAAATTAAAAATGCGAATGTATCTGGAAAGTCTCACAAGTCATCATGATTCAAAAGTCAGGAAAACCAATACACGAAATTTCCTTATATAGGTCAATAAGATTGTTACCAATAATCTTCAAGGTGTTTGAGAAGATTTTCTTATTTAAACTGTCAGGAGAACTAGCAGAGAGGTCCATAATACTTAATCACCAATTTGGTTTCAGGCAACAATATGGCATTGTGGAACAAGTTCATAGATCATTATGTATAAAGACATTCGGAAAAGTCTTGAACATAAAGAATACTGTCTATCTGTATTCCTTGATATACAACAGGCATTTGATAGAGTCTGGCACGACGGTTTATTATGTAAGATGATACAGCTCTTGCCCTATACTTATTTCGGAATCAGAAAATCATAACTCTCAGAGCGAATATTCCAAATTAGGGAAGACTACTGCACATCCCATTCCTACCCAATCTTATGGTTCTGTGTTGGGACAAATGCTCTACGCGATTTACCACCACTAAAAGACGTCACAGTGGCCACTTTCGCAGATGGCGAAGCAAATGCCCTAATGAAGCCTCATTGACACTGCAACGCAGTCTTTGCGCAAAAGATACATGGTTAACAACTCAGCTCGATATCTGGGACTATATTTAGATAGGACGCTTACATGGAAAAATCACATCCAAGCCCAACGACATAAAATTAACCACAGATTCAGAGAGTTATTTTGGATGTTGGGGAACAAGTTAATCGTCTACAAAACTATAATAAAGCCTGTCTGTATTTATGGAATGCAGCTCTGGGGTATATTTTGCCTAATCTTTTTGGTACATCACTACACTTATAAAGATTCTATGCTGGCATATTCTTGTAGTAGCGTATTATAAGTATTTATTTAATTGTTTTCTCAGTCACTTAAATCTAAAGATATAAAAATGTATTTTTATCATAAAATGAAGGACAAGTTATGTCGGCGAATTTATGTCGAGCTATGAGAAAAACATGCTCTCAACGGCCACACTGTAATCGATAAATTCTTACAACTATCGCTTTGTTTTTAGCTTTGCTAGAGAAGAAATATTACTTACTAAGGGCGTTGTCTAACGATTCCACTAGGGTGCCCGTATTTTGTGTGACACCAAACAAAGTTCTGGGATCTTCACGAAGTCTCTGGCAGAACAATTCGGCGTTGCGTTTAAATTCTGTAACGGTAAAATAAAGCATTAATCGTCATCATCAACCCTTTTACGTTCCCACTGCAGGGGTTCAAGCCTCATATTATTATAGATGGTTAAGGAGGATGTGTCATGACCCTCCAAGGTCGCCCAATGCTGATCGGAGGGTATTAACGAGTGCACATTACCGTGCCTTCTGAAGCACGGAGTAGCTCGAGGTACTAATATAAAGGTCACCTATCCCGTGTGCGACAATTGCGAAAGATGCTTAACAACAACGATCGCGGGAGGTTATCCACTATGCCACCGAGCTACTGTTATAACAAGCTCATATCCAGTCAATGCACAAAAGAGATTGGGGAATCAAGGTAGCAGCTGTTAAAAAAAGGTTTTAAATGAAATAGGTTTCAGAAGTTTTAATATACAAAGAAACAATAAAAGTTATAAAAATATAAAAATTATTTAATATATAAAAAGGTTGTGTGTCGGTCAGGTCGATTATTGAAAAATATTAAACACACCCATACACTCCTTTTAATGTAAATCACGTCAAAATCAAATATTGACATCAGGGATAAAGATAAAAAGTTTATATTTAAAATGTTGCTACTAATAATAATTTCTGAAATTAAAACCGCTTTGCTATTCTATAAAAATAGCTTTCGCACTATTCATGTTCAATCAAATAAGACCCTTATTACCTTTTGATGTAGGTTTTATTTGGTCGATCCTCCAATGCCGTTATAGCGCTGTATTTTTAACAGAATATGACAGCTGTATGATATTATATAGCATACCAAAGTAGTTTGTTTGTCCTAAGTTGTGATTGTGTAGTGTTTGTATGAAGTCTGCGGTCTCCCACGTGTGGACCGCCTCGTTATTGTTCAGCGGCTTGTTGGCCACCAGCGGGGTTTGATTTGCGAACCTAAACAATGACAAATATCTGTTACTCTTAATGAAAAGTGCTTAAAAATCAACTCGCCCCAAATATTCAGAGATGGGATTCAAAACTACGACCTTTCGCAATCCGGGCGACTGCATAACCACTAAGCTACCAAGAACTTAACAGGGCTGACGAATTTTTCAAGCAAATTTTACTTATACGCTACTAATTTGGAGCAAGTGGATATTTTAGGCCTTTTTTATTAAGAATATTTTTCAAAACATTGTCCCAAACTGTAGCTAAAGTACATGCACTATGGAAAACTGAAATTACAAAGGTAACACAACAGCCAGACCCGAGACAATAGAAAAAAGTTGCTTTTCTACATCGACCTGACCGGGAACCTAACCCGGGATTTCAGAGACGGCGACACTTTGCAACCGACGTGCGAATCACTCGACCACGGAGATTTTATTCATTCTAGGCCTTCCTATGAATGAGTTAGGGAGAATGTGCTTTAACCCACCACACGAGCCCAGTGCGGATTGGTGGGTATTAACGATTGCAGATCCAGAAGCATGAAGGAGCACTCAAGATAATAAATTTTTGGTCAACCGTGTCACAGATCGAGCTAGCCCACTGCGCCATCGAGCATCTCACTCCTCACATTCATAATGTCATATTGACATTTATTTTATAAAAGTAAAATATAATAAATGGTGAAGGGTGTCTGTTTGTCCTCTCATTTCGCAACGGAAAGTATGACCACGCAAGGTAAATGATAGCCGTTTAATATTCCTATTACATATGTATATGTGATATCAAAACAATATTCTCACCAATCATCCCAAATTTTGAGCGTCTTCAATATAAAGTCCACTTGTACGCTAATCTCCTGCCCAGAATACATGTAGCCGGCCACTTTTTCCAACTCCTAAAGAAATAAGTAAAAAAAAAGAGACATATCAGATAAAATCATAATAATAATAATCGTCAGTCCTAATATCCCAACTGCTGGGGCACAGGCCTTTCCTAAGAATGGTCCAGTGCGGATTGGTGGGTGTTAACGATCGCAGATGCAGCCGCGACAAACGGATTAATGTGCTTTCCGAAGCATGGAAGTAGTTATAGTAAATTTTTGATTACTCATCCTATTACATGCCTGCCATAGGGCATGTAGCCCTGGCGAAGGTTGCTTAATGCGGAGGGCATTGCGGATTTTTTCTAGATGTCAAATAATTTCCTCGATGGATCAACTAACACCACCATCTATGAGGGGTTCATAAAACTAAACAATAACTAAATAAACAATTTTACTGTTTAAACCCTTGATTTGCAAAAAAATATAGATATCAATAGAAAATTGAGATAAAAGTATTCTATCTTTTAAATCAAATATAAATATCGACATATATCATGATATGTATTCGTTGATATTTATCAGCGAACCCTGGTATTGATATATACTTACCGTGATAGCGCTTATTATGTGATCTCTGGTGAACACAAACGAAGCGGCGTCCCGACATATGTCCTCGATGTTGTGAGCTTCGTCTATTATTAAAATGTTGTCTTGAAGATGGATTTGCATCTGTTAATTAGATATTTAAATTTATATCTACGTTAGATATAAAGGGGATGGCGAATGGGTAAAAAAAAAGAGATTCTATTAAGTCCGTCAGTCAGATAATAGAAAAATATTAGATTCGTAATTTTTACTCCAATTAAACAAGAAATACCTTAGATAACATGCATTAAAGTTGAGGAGTAGGGGCTCTCTGCGTCACAGAAGAAAGTGTACAAAAGCGTGACGGCATGTGACATTTTAACTTTATCTAATGATTATGAAAACAAGAAAAACCACTTGTTCAATATTTTTCAACAATTTACCTTACGGACAAACAAACAAAAAATTATCGTCATCCCTATTTAATATGATAAGTAAACGAAAAATTAATAGTGTTGATCAAATTCTTAGCGTCACTATTAGATAAATAGTGCCTAACGTGTCATTTTATAGATCTATAAATTATACAGAGGTCTTTCCGATAGTCTTTAAGATAGACCCCGTTTTAGGGCTCCGTACCCAAATGGCAAAACAAGGTTTCACAGGTGATGTATTTCTTGAACGTTGCTATAACAACTCATACACATGTGAACACGGAACCTGTAAAGGGTCCGAAACATCAAATAAAAGAAAAATTCAAATGCGATGAAACCATTTAAAGTTGTTTCATTTATTTTAACGATATATCGTTAATATAAATTTGATAATTAAATGAAACAAGTCTTTTAGGCACAGTTCTTGTTATTACGAGTAGATCACAGAACAGCAAAACTATCTGTCACCACAGATTTTTAAGCTAAAGACATTGCACTTATAATATTGGACTTAAGGTACATTGGCAAAATGCAATTAATCGAGACGCTATTGAGAAGAGGTTCAGATAACTTACGCTATTTCTGATGGTTGGCTCTATCAGATAGTTGTACGGACAGAAGACTATATGAGCCGCACTGGCCATACTCCTAGCTGCGTAGTAAGGGCAAGATTTCTTCTCTTTTCCTATCAGCACCAGGTCCTCCAAGTCGAAAGCTGGAGGTAGACTGTCATGGTTTAACGCTGCACGGTTATCGTAGTATTTGCAATTGGTTTCACCCCTCTGTTTGTCGGAAGACGATGACTGAAAAACGAAAATACATTGGTTTTTGAACAATTATTTTTTATTTTTTGCGTGATCAATCAATTACGGCGATACATTGAGTTGAAATGTCACATGACGTCACGCTTTTGTAGTTTATTCAACATAGTTGTGATGTAGTGTGGTCCCACTCCTTAACTATAATGTATTTTATCTAAGTTTTCTTGATTTGTAGCAAATAAATAAGAACCCAATATTTTTCTATTATATAACTGATGGAGTAAATAATATTTTTTTTCACCCATGTGTCATTCCTATTCAAAAGTAAAATTATATTGTCCCATACAATAATTAATTTTTTTAATTGAACGTAATAAAACCTTATTATAAATATTATGATTAATTTCAATTTAATACGCAAGCAGAATTTATAATTTATAACTCTTTCTCCTTTTCAGCAAAAGCTTTTTCAATAAGAGCGGCGGCTCTACCGCATAAGACTATAGCTCTGATTGATCTGTTAAACTGGAGCAAGCCCATATGTATTAAAATTCTTAAAAAAGCTACACATTTAATATTGGTCTGGTCAATCGTCGATAAATTCATTAATTCTGCTATTTACCTAGTACTTCGTCGAAATTCAGTCAAATACTTTCGGTAAAGTCATTTAAATTGGATCTCTCTATATCCCAGTTGCATAATAAAACATACATACATATGGATCTAACAAAAAAATACATTTTACTAGTCAATTGACTTACTTTGATACATCCCCTGCACATGTCATTTTTAGTGCTCCAAAGTTTCTTGTCGAACTCCCTTATACAGCTGTAATCCCTGCTGGAGAGAACGGTCATTTTCGCCTCGCCGCAGTAGCTGGTTCTCTTGAACTCCTTTATGACCTGTTGCAGCTGTTTGTGTGTTCTCGCACCGTAATATATAGTCGGAGTTCTGCAATTAACATCGTCGGTGATCCAGGTGCGCAATAACGACACTAGGAATCTGGAAACCGACCACCACCGCTTTTACCCGACACCAGTATACTCAAATGTATATCTCAACTCTATTATCTAGTTATTAGGCATCATCCATTTTATAACGTAAGTTTTACACTCCAATAAATTGCAACACTGATGTTTTTTGAAAATTCTACAAATGTGTTCATTAGCCAAATGGAAATCATTATAACTCAAATATTTTAGGATAATAATACGTTTGGTAGTTTGTTGAAAAATATAATAACACGTATTTATTATTTTTTGTGTCATCAATAAAACGAGGCGATACTTGAGTTGAAATATGACATCACACCGTAGATTTTCTACCATGTTGTGACGTAGGGAGCGCCTACTCCTCAACTTTAATGCCTATCATCTAAATCAGAGGTTCCGAAAGAATTTTTGTCGTAGACCATTTCAAAAAATTTACTGGTTTCGGTGGACCCCCTGCTGCTACATTTTTACCATATTCCCAAAATTCGTGCAAAATGTGAAGATTTAACGATGGGAATTGAACCCCTATTTTTATTTCACGCCAACGTCGACCCTAGTTGAATCCCTCCTGGACCTCTGGGGGTCCACCTGGACCAGTTAGGGAATCACTAATCTAAATCATTTCTTGTCAACTAGAAGCAAAAAAAAAAACACTAATATTTTTATATTGTCTCACGACGGAAATTTTTCTTTTATTCAGGTATCATCTCTATTAAGTCAGTTTTGCGTTTAAAGTTGCACCGCCAGTACCCTCCAATATTTCTTGTCCAATACATATTTTATATGTAAGAATGAAAAGGAAAAATTAATATATTTTTTTTAAAGAAACGTCTTGAGATCTTTCGTTTTATAAATCATTTTAATTTTGCTCTTGCCTTCGCACTCGAGAAAGTTTTATTCAAAAATAATCACAAGAACATCTAGAGCCCCTTCCCTACCCCTTAATCACAGAAAAAAAAAGCGTTGTCGACCCTCCCCCTGAATTGTCTTACGTGATAAATGGATAGCGCCTTATTTTACTCATATATTCATATATTTTTATATTACAAATTATATAAAAAATGTTAAATCATATATAATTAAACATAAGCAGCAATATACATAATCACATAGTGCTATTTCATGCGGTCAGTGGTTGGTTGTTTCCAAAATGTTTCATGCAAAATGGTGTTATACTCTACCTCGTGTGTTCATAAGTTTTGAGACGAAATAAAAGTTGCGTAAATCTTTTTAATAATTAACTTATATTTCTTAAATCTTTCTTTAACTATTAAAAAGCTAATAACCAACAATAAAGTATAATTATATATTTTCTTCAAAATGACCGCCCTCGTTTTTAATATAAGTCCTTAGTCGATTTGGCCAGTCATCAATGGCGGCATGAATCTTTTCTAGCCGAATTCGCTTTGCTTCTCGAACAAGAGTTCGCTTCAGTGACACCAAGTCTGGGTGGGACTTTCGGCAAGCTCTGAGTTCTAATTCAGTCCATTAAGAATAATCCAGCTGGTTGAGGTCGGGGCTCGAGGAAGGCCACTCGTCTGCTGTGATGAATGCCGACACATTCTCCCTCAATCAAGCTTGGGTGCTTTTTACCTTATGGGATGGCGCCGAATCTTGCTGAAAAACCCAATCCTTTTATTGTGAAATAACGTATCAAATGTCACTCTGATATTTCTTGGCTTTCACCTTGACATCTTGTTGGCAGAAATGGACCGGAGTGACACCTCCATTCGAAATTCCCCCCATACAATCACACTAGCCGGATGATGAGTGCGCGAGGCATTCCGTGCAGATGCTGGGACATCCTTGCTACGTTGAGCGTACATTTTATTGTTTTGTCGGTTGAACTTTTCTTCGACAGTAAAAATTTTCTCGTCGGTGAAGAGTATCTTCTTGGCATCATGTCTCCTCAGCAGCAATGGACAACGTTCGCGTCGTCACTTACAAAGACGATCGTTTAAAAAGTGAACTTTTCTACGGCGTATTTATTTCAGTATTATGTTCACTGAAACGCGCGAAATATTATTCTGCAGAGCAAATTTCTTCTGCGTGCGACATGGATTTCGGCGAAATCGTTCTCGGATGATTTTGATGTTCGCAGGTCTCACAGAGCTTGGCCGACCACTCCTTTGGCGATCTTGCAGAGAACTTGTCTCTTTATATCGCTGTATTGTGTAACATACGAAGTTACAGCTAACATGAAAACTTTTAGCTCGTGGAAAATTTGCATCGGTTTTTTTTCCCGCCTTAAATAGCGAATTGACAGTTGTACGTAATTGATTCGTATAAGAAATATAAATAAATGAATTTGCGATACAAATTAACATTCCAAATTCAAAATCGGCAAAAAAAAATGACAACAGCCAGTAACATTTTATTTAATTTTTTCAGTAAAAAGTTTGTGTCAAAATTTATGAACACACGAAGTACATAAAAGCGCCTAATACCCATTGTTTAGTTATACAGTGTTTCATCTTTTTTCCTCGAAATGAAAGTTACATTAGAATTATATGAACAGAGTTATAAGAAAAAAAAATAAGGATCCGTATCTTCGGATATACATTTGTAATGATACACCACTCTACCACTGAGTTAAAAGATGTTAACGACAAAATTGAATCCTTCATTTATCTTGAATCTTCCTGTTAGTAAGCATATTTTCATAGATGTTAGGCAGATGAAAAAATATTTAGATTATCGATTGATTAGTATTATAGCATTTTCTTTAATATAAATAGTTTCAAGCTTATACATTAAATCAAAATGTTCTCAGGGAATCTTCTCATTAGACACCCATATCATGAGAGCGATTTAATATACGTTACTGATCCGCCATATTAGATTCAGAATGAAGTAATTTCATTATTTTGGTATTGTTTTTATCAAAACATCTGATACCCATATCACACATAAAGATAACTCATTCATGCATATAAATCTAAAGCTTTGGGAATATATATAAAAAAAATCTGTTATATATTTGATGAACACACATCGCAAGTTAAATTAAAGCTTGTACAGTGCCACAAACTTATGACAGCGTCGCTGTAAAAGTGTTAGGAATTTGCGATTTCAGTAATTATTATACAATACGACCTTATAGCAGTGTTGCCCAAGAAACTAGAAAACGACATCTCACCAATAAAAAAAACAGGAGAAAACAGTACGTTAAGTAAAAAAGGCACATTTCACACTGTCCTCATATAATTAAAACAACAACATACTTTTATTAGTTACCAGAACTTACATTGTTATATTATAATATAGATCGCAAAATAAAAAATTAAATTAAATAAAAACCTACATTATTTTCCACTTTGATCGTCAATTGCCTAATTTTCTGACTAATTTCCCTTTTAATTTCATATATAGTATTGTTGAGTTCTTGTGCCTTTTTGTGGCTTCAAATGAGTAGCAGTTTGTTATTTCTATTTGCATAGTGTTGCATAATAGGTGGCGCTGAACGCTGATTGAAAATTAGTAAATAATCGGAATGGAGCAGAAAACAGGTGCATCAGTTTGAAAAAACAGCAAAGCTACTGTTAAAACTGTTTTCTGTACTTAAATTTCTGTAATTTCATTTACTGAATTTTTTTATTGAATTCTTTAATTTACTGAAATTTATGTAACCTACAAACTGAAATGCAGCTTCTCGTTCAATTTTTCAAATGGTATTATTGTTTCTCCTCCTGACTAAAAACTAACACTTTCAAAATCATGTTTCTTGCATCGCTTTTCAATGCTTTCGGCATTATTTACAAATTACGATAAAATCACAAAACAAAGTCGTGCGCAACAATAGGCTGACACCAAGAGTAAAGTATGATGGCAATCCAAAACGATGGCGCCTTAGTTGTAATTTTGGTCACCGGGTCATAAGTTTGTGGCACCATACACACGGATGCACGTCACGTTACTACCACAATATGTCAAAATCCCACATTTGATTTTGACATAAGATATAAAAATAGAGTGGGGAAATTTTAGTTTTGTGCAATTGACTGTACATAAATATAAAGAGAATAGCCGAATGGGCTCTCCAATGCAATAATAATTATTCTTATTCGTATTAGTTTCGGAGGTTAAACAGGCAAACAATTCTTCAGCCTCATATTAGTTAATGCCTATCATCAATGTACACAAGGCTGCACATGACGTCAATATGACACATTTAGGCAGCAGATATTGACTTTTACCTCCCATGTACTAAAGTTTGAAATCGAGTGGTGATATATGACAGTTATGTATAACTTAACGTGGTATTGACTGTACATTTACCTAACATTCTCGGGGGTCTCGGCTTTCGGTGATCCTATTACTTTTTGCGGAGTGGTCGGCTTCTGTGGACTGCAGTGTTCAGATTTTGACAGTTCATTGAATTTTGGCGAGTTGAGACGGCGTCGTTTGTCGTTCGATTTCTCTGAATCATTCATGTTGGCTTCTGTAATCCAATCAAACGCTTTTATACAGTTTGTTATAAATAATTTATTTAGATAAATAAATAAGGCAGTGGCCTAAGATGGCTAAAGGATGTGAACTCTCAATAAGGGTGTTTGAATTTGCCACTATAGGCGCTGATGTAGAGCGAGTTCTACATAATTTCAAATATATATTCATAATTTCATACTTCATCGGTGAGCTAGCCCGTTTCTTTTCCAATAAACGATTTGGTGCTTCATCACTTCAGCCGAGAGACGCCCACTGCTGGGCATAGGCCTCCCCCAAAGATTTCCAAAGCGATCGGTCCTGCGCCTCCCGTATCCAGTTTTGGTGCTTATCATTTTTAAATTATTAATTTTCATTTTATTCCTTTTAGTAAGTATACAAAAATTGAATATTTAAAAAATATGGTCAGTGTCATTCACGCCAGCGATGACGTAATCTTTCTAATGATACCTTTACATTCATAACCGTTGAGCCTTTCAAAAGTTATGGTGGAATAAAAAACTGACAGACATACATTAATCCTAAACAGAATACATTACTATTTTGGGCAATCGTGTCAAAATATGCGGGAATGAATCACCCCATAGAAATACTAAAAAATATACAAAAATTGGGAAAACTATCAAAACAGCTTGGTCGTATTTTACTCGTGATCTTAGACAAGTTGTCGGGAAGCTTCAAACACCTTAACTCAAAGAGTGCTAATTTGTAATAGGGCTCATAAAATTAAATAAGGAGAAGAGGGTAAGACTAGTACAAGTTACTTATTTTATTAACAGTTTCTTATTGCTAAAATTGCCCGATTTGGAGGTAATTAGAAATTTTCGGAATTTTTGTAACTAACTCAAAGCACATTACTTCATACTAACATAAAATATATTATTTATGTAAAATAAAACAAAGTCAAGTAACTGAAGAATTCTTCAAAAATACAAGATTCTTTTGCGTTTAATCCTAGTGTAATATATATTAGACGTTCTGAAGAATGCTTGCGACTGCCGTCATTCGGATTTACGGTGTAATGGTTTCGAATGAGAACTGTCACATTGTGGTCCCCTCTCGGTTTCAATACTTTTCATCGGGGGACTCGCGTCGTGCCCGCGACGTAATCCACGTAATGGCGTCATTGTCGTACGATCAGCCATCTTGTCGTATCACCCTGAGTTTACTATGACTACGGTTGCCATTTATATAATTATTAAAACAGGACAAGAATCTCAAAATCAGCGGATCTCGCCACCGCGTTGTTAGTTGTTGTGATAGATTTTTGGTTGGTTGATTGAGCATATGGTGGAATTTTTGATGCTTTAGTTCACATTTATCAGAATAGGTGAGTTATCTAACTATTGACATGACATATCTTGGGATCACTCCTATATAGTTTTATCTTTATTAATTAAATACAAACGAATATTGACTTTATTTCACTGTAGGTAGCCGAGTTAGGTTTTATGTGTTGAAAAAATTTAGGGTGAAGTTTGATAATATTTATTCTAGACATAGTATTTCAAGACTCCGACATTATCGAAAAATCGTACTATATTATATAATTATTTTAAGATTTTATAATTAATATGAAAAATTACTACGGTACTAGATGTCTTCCCGGAACTTCATCCGCGTAAAGTATAGCCTGTGTTACGCACGCGACTATGATGTACCTCCCCTTTACATAAAGAATTTTTAAAATCGGTTTAGTGGTTTCGGTGCCTATTTAATGCAATTAAATAATTAAAATGTAGATAAAATGTCATGTACTATAACTTTATCACAATTTCCGTAACAGTTAATATAAGTATAATCCAAAAAAGTTAACAACACCAATAATGGTGCATGATGATAATTGCGCCTCAAAATTTCAACTAATAAAGATAAATCCGAGCAAAAAAGGGCGGATGGTATCCCTATCTTTGTTAGACAATAGGGTGATATTGGATGGAAATATTTTCACAGAAACTAGATATTTAAAATTATTAGCATCAAAGAAATGACGGTTTCGTTTCACAAAATATCAGCTTTCAACAGCAAAAATAACATCTAGATTGACATTTGTTATTAGGAACTAAATAAATATCTATGTTAATATATTGCCTTTGAGTCACCGATTTACACGTGTTTTGTTACCGAATTCAATTAGTCTGGGTTCTTTTAAGGTGCGGAACTTAAAAAAACATAACAAATATATATTTCTATGTTTTTAAGTAAGAAATTAAAAAAAAAACTTCCATAAATAAAAGACTAGCTACAAAATCATATCCCTGTATCAAAACCAAAACTAAACTTATACAACTGCCTGCAAAATTAAAAAAAGAAAAGCTTAAAAAATGAGGCGACACGTTATTTTATTAAGCACAGTTTGTTAAATGTTAATTGAAATACAGTCATTACAGTTATTATTATATTTATTTCTTTGTTATGTATTTGTTTTCTAGGGGGCCGTGGACCAGAATAGGTTACGAAACGCTGGTGTAGGATAATAGCACAGATAAAATAATACTTTGTAATAGGTATTTACCTTCATGTTCATCTTGAAGAGGCTCATTCCTTTTTCCACCACAACTTTCATTCTTCATAGGTGAATCGTATATACTCTTCTGCCCTGTAAAGTTATTCACATTTTCACTAAATTACTTACATAAGAGACAATAGAAAACTAAAAATTAAATAAATGTCGTACATAACAGCACCGTTTGTCCACTAATTATTGAACATAAACACATATTTATGAAATAAAGTTTGATTGGGAGAGGATGTTTATGTATGATTGTATATCAATATATCTACATCCCTAGCCTATGCTAGGGACCAGGGAGTAGATCTAGGGACTCTCATCGCAGCATAATTATGTCCTAACTTCTAGGGCTCAGTTCTTCCCTATGGATGGAATCGAAACAAATCGAATGGGAGAATGGGCCATGCATGACCTTTACCACTCGGGCCCAGTGCGGATTGGTGGCTATTAACGACTGTAGATGTAGCCTGGACCAACGGCTTAACATGCCTTCCGAAGAATGGAGTAACTACATATATTAAATATTTGATCACCCATTTCGTGGCCGACCCTTGCTAAAATTGCATAATAACGACGAAACCGGGCCGCGGCGTATCCACTAGGTCACCGAGCTATTCTAGGGTCTCTAAAATTAATAAATTGTAATAGAAATGACAAATTCGAATAAAATTATAGTTTATTATTTTATAATGGTAACTTCACTTAGGCACAAGTCTTTATTGTAAAGAATCAATATTTTAAACTGTCATATAAGAAGGGGTATTAAACACGTTTGCCTCAAGCGATAATAGGTTGACTCGAGTGTTTTAATACCTAAGTTATATGCAGTTTCATACACTACTTTATCTTCACTCATAAGAAAAATTTAAATCAAACAAAGTAGTAAAGTGTAGTTTACAACGAAGTAATTTTTTGGAATCCCGAATACAAAAACACGATCGGCAAAAAAATTGATGGTAAGCGCGGGAAATTAAGTTCGAACTACGCATGCGTGCGCCATTTTTTTCATATTCAGCCTGAAACCATAGACTAGTTTAATGAATAAAAAAAGATAGCGGTATTATAATGAGTTTTATTTTTAATTTTATGTACATGCGTTTATAAAGTGCGTATGTACAGAATCGTCTTTGAAAACGTAATTCGAATTTTTCGATTTGAGTGTAGATAAATAGTTTTAACTACTGGAGCACAACTAAAAAATAACGATAGATATTACGCATACAGATAACAGGTATGATAAGGTGATGTCATCGCTTATTTATCATTAGTTATAGTACGCAGTTATGTTACAAAACTACACAGGGAATTTATAGGTGAGACATATTTATTATTTATGGGGCCATCAGATTCTGTTCTACTGCTAAAATTATGTTTGTAAAGGTTTTTTAACTAAAATAGTAAATATATTAGGTACAGTAGACATCAAAACGTTTATGATGATAATCGTTTTGTACAAGTTTGCGCTATGCTTGTGTTCAACAAAGATATTTCGATTCATGTCTCGCTTTTAGACATTGAAATATATTTTATCATTGTCAATAAGGATAGTACTCCAATGAATATGTTATTATTCTTTTATAATTATATGTTTTGCTTTAACAAAAAATATCATTGTCGTATTCAAAAATAGATTCAAAAGGGGTGTACACTTTTATGTCAAAAGGATGACCGGTTGATAGTAAACCTGTAGTGTAGACAACTTTTTTATAGATATACATGAAATATATCTAAAATAATATTTTAATAAAGTATCATTCGATTCATAAGTTAAAATTTAAAAATTAATTTAGGTTTCAAAATTTCCCGCGAAAACGTCAACTTCTCTCATGGCGTCGCTTTGACGTCATGGCCCTCTGAAACTAAATCGTTCTATTACGCATAAGGTTCAATTGTCTAAGTCCCGATATCAATAAGAGGGGCGTTTGCGGTTAAACACTACCAGAAAAAAAGAATATGTACTGATTGACGTATTGATTGTGTAAAATAAAACCTTTTCGTCATATAAACATTATTAAAGATATATTTTTTACTTATTTGAGTAAAAGTTAAAAGAATATGCTGGCAGACACAATTTATTCGTTAGGAATGAAAGAAATTATTCTGAACTACCTATGACAAGTCAGTCAAAAATAATATACCACTTCTAAAATATTATAACTTTTTTACATTTGCTCTTAAGTTCTGTTAAATGGGTTTTATAAAAATACTCGAATTTTAAGTATTTTTATAAGATAACTAGTTTCCCGTCAGCGGCTTCACCCGAGTAGGGTAAAATATCCAATAGTCGCCGGCATGATGAGATTCTATAATTCAAAACTTATATGTAATAAGATTTAAATTTATGTAGCAAAACTGATGATCGACTGGTAGGAGTCAAAAGTCTATTTGTCGGCCATCAATATACAGTGACTTTTTTATACACGGCTGACTACTTCTGGTAAAATTAACTTATTTTCATCTAAGAATTATTATATAAATTCGTTCCAAAGCTAAAAATATGAGCTATTTACTGAATCAATTTCTACGAAATCAAAGAAAATTCTAATAAAACCTGTAGTCGATTTGAAGCGGCCGACTACAGGTTTTATTTAGCAATCCTAAAAAATCGAATTCTACTAATAGGGCCACTGAATTATAGTGTAATAAACAAATGCCTCTAACGCTTAATTAAATTATAACACAAACGTATTATAATAATATAACATCAAAATCCACCAAAATAAACAGCAAACTCATAAAACACTTACCTGAATCACGAACACGTATCCTTAAGAAAAAAAATTGAATTGTGAAGCTTTCAGTCATGTCGTTGGCGGCAGTGAAAATAAACGAATACAGTTCATCAACCGGTCATCCTTTTGATACAAAAGTGTGCGTATTAACTAATAATTATTTTGTCTGAACTAGAAACAAAGTTCAAAACTATTTATATAACTTTAAAGCCTGTAAAGGCCGACTACTGGTGCAGGGTGACTTCGGGATATTTTACCCTAGTCCTGTATTATAAACATACACATATTACCTTCATCTTGAATCACTCTATATACGTATATTGATGATATTTTCAAAAATTTTTTCATTCAACTATCCATTGTGTAATTTAAAAGATCTCAGAGTACAGACAGTGGGAAGCAACTTTGTTTTATACACTATGTACAGATGCTAATTATTTTGCGGCTTTCCATCAGCTAATAAACATTTTCAAGTAGGAACCTTTTTAAAGAGAACAGGAGTATATTGTTCGGTCACAAAATCTATATATTTGATAATAATATTCTTACAAAAGTTCGACAAGAGTTTTGTAACAAATGCTTTGCATGCATACAGATTGATAGCGTCTAGAATTGAGAAGAATGGAAGAGTTTCTGGGTAAGGAGTACAAGATGGTTAGTGAAGAAAATTTCGAACAATACTTGGTACACATTGGTATGTGCAAACATTATTAGTTCTCTTTGATTAATTTAATTGTAATTATTTCGTCGGAACCGCCTAACAAACACGACATCAGCAAATCGTTATAATGATGATATTTCGTTTCATTATACTACTTTGACATGTCTTTTGATGGAATTAAAAGGATAAATGTTTAAGTTGGAAACACTGTTGTCAAATCAACATTCATAATTCTTTATCATTAGTGCTTCATTATTACAGTAAATGAAATTGAAAAACCGCTATACAATCGCTAAGATAACGTATCCTACGACTAGAATTATAGCTAGAGGAGTTAGGCGGTCGCTCCGCTGGTCGGAATATTTGACAGATTTTAATTAATACTACTGTTGGAGAAATTTAATCTAACTACATTACAGACTTGTTAAATGCATATAATAAAAGAAAATAAATAAACACTGAAGATCTAGGCTTAATCGCCTTCGACTGTCCTTAGAGGGCGAAGTTTACTACTACTACTGAAATTATAAATTTATTTTAATTGATAAATTTTTCATTCACAATGCTTTACTGAAAAATATTCTTAATGAAAAATTTATATGAAGCAAGTGGATTTTATGCATTTTTCATTAAGAATCTATACTAATAATAAAGGTGAAGAGTTTGTTTGTTTTGTTTGATTTGATGAATCTCAGAAACTAATGGAACGAATTGAATTATTGTTTTTGTGTTTCACTTCACTTTGTCATTTTAATTATATTCCATGTCATCTTTTTCCAAATCCATTATTAAATAAAGTTGTTTACGCAGGATTAAATTATGTTTTGAATAATTTTAATCGGTATAATCTTTATCGCTAATATTAAATGCATATGTTATATTGGTTATCTACACAAAAATGTTACATTTACTCGTATTTGCCTCCACTAAGCACTAGCTGACGCTGTTGTACTTTTCAAATGGGATTTAGATTTTTGTTATGTTTGTAGTCTTTATTTTTTTTCGATTTTATCATACAAAAAGCTTTCGTTTTCATTTTTGCGATTTTTCCATTGCCATAATTGACATTTATTAGAACCGACTATTATAATAGATGTCAATAGAGCTATGTAATAGTAACATACCGGATGAACCAAAATTGTTGCCACAAAAATCATATAAATCACGCTTGAAAACATGGTTAATTGATAAATGTTTTTATTAAGTAAATGAGTTAAAAAATATATATATATTTGGAACACTTTAATTGAATGACATATAATAGTTAATAACTAAGAACCTACAATTAGTTTTAGTTATTGCATGCTGTTCAACTGTAGAATATGTGTTACTTATATTGTTTTGTTTAATTTTGTATGAATCCATAATCTTCGTTTTTGATTTGTAACTTTTCCTTGTAAAAGTAACAGCTAATACAAATCATCATCATCATCAGCCCTTTTACGCCCCTACTGCAGGGGGGGCCGGCCTTTCTTATGGATGGTTAAGGACGATGGGCCATGACCCTCCACGCTGGCCCCAAGCGGATTGGAGGGTATTAACGACTGCAAATGCAGCCGGGACCAACGGCTTAACGTGCCTTCCGAAGCACGGCTTAACGTACCTTCCGAAGCACACGAAGATAACAATTTTTTGGTCACCCATTCCGTGATTGACCCTTGCGAAAGTTGTTTAACGACAACGATCGCGGGCCGCGGCGTTTATCCACTACGCCACCGAGCTACCCAACAAATACAAATGTTCAGATTTAATTTGACTTACAATGTGTCTGTCAACCAAGTGTTGAGTTGCGAAAAACACCCGTCGTCGCCAAGAGTGTCAACACGCGCATTCTTGTTTTTAACCGATTTCAAAATCGAAAAGGAGACGGTTTGAAGCATGTTCGACGGCGATGTATGTTCACCGATATTTTCGCTTGTTCATGCTGACCGAATGGTGACCGGTTATAATTTTTTTTTATTCGACAGCTTAGGTGGTCCCGTTTAAATTTTATCGAAATCGAATTAGTAGTTATCTTTTTATAACAAAAAAATAAATAAATACGCTGTTCATTAGATATCACCTAAATATTTAGATGATATGTTTATGTTTATTTAAAATCCGAGAGGAGGATTTTCTATGTTCAACGAGTATGTATGTATATTTTTTTATCAAAGTAGGTATGTTAATCTATTTCTTCTTCAATTGTGAACCAAGTTGAACAAACTCGCTATTTCGCCGCGACTTCGCCTGCATAAATTATAGTTTATGTCCCCCGCGTATTATGTAGCTTCCCGTAGATGAAATAATTTTTCAATCGGTTATAATTGTTTCGAAGCTTTTTAGTTGCAAAGAAACAAGCGATCAAATCTTTCATCTTCATAATTCGAGTCCTTATAGATTATTAGAAAAAGAAATAATTCGAGTAAATAAATAATATCTCCTTTTCTAAGACGTTCATATGTTGAATATATTTATTTATATTTGATATTTTTAGTGTTACCTATCATATAAAAAATATCATTATCACTAAAATGCGCACAATTTTTTGAAAAGTCATGAACTATAATAACTTGAACCATTCAATTTAAATTCTTAAATAAATCGCTTTTGAGATACGTATTAATTATAAGTTTTTTAAAGTTTTACGTCAGTTATATTTTTTTTTGTTTTTATTGAGGTTTAACAACAAAATAACGGTTAAAGTCATCGGTTTATGGCTTTTCAAAAATCGTGGGTATTTTTTCAATAAATCACGACATATATATTACGTTATAGACGTGAAATCGTCCTTTGCTTTCCCAATAACATAAGATAACTAATGTTCGATGAACCTTCAATAACTGTGACTTGAGTTTTATTTATCAATTTAAATCTATACTTAAAAATATGAGTTTAAACAGAAGCGTGACTTGTTTTATTTCTTGCATTACTGACGGAAAAAATAATTTATTAGTCAGACCCTTGTCAGACCATAGCGAGGCTCCCAATTTATCAGGGCCTGTAGTATACGGCACTGAAGATAAATCTTTATATTTCTAGCAGCTGTAAATATTATCTTGTCATGTATTTCCTTCATCAGGCTTGAATTACATTAAAAGAAAAATAGCTGTCAACACGAGACCAATACAATGTCTCACCCGCAACGCCGATGGTAAATACAAGTTTACCGTACATTCGTCTATGTTCACATGGGATATGATATTTGAACCGGGAGTGGTGTTCTATACAGAGAAACCAGACGGAGGGCAGGTACACAAATAGTTATCTATAAACCGTACGAATTAAAATTACACCTGAGGGCCTATACTATTGTCTTGCAACGAAAACTCGGACAATTTCGCAAAGTTCTCATAATTTTGTTAAAAATCATATCCATGAAGATTATCTGTGCATCAGAGACAGTGTTAGGTCCTACCTCTGATCTGTTGCATCACAATATCGTTTCTTTGCATTTCAAAATACATGAATATAGAGTCCGTCCATTAATCACGTGTGGCTCGAAAAGGGGGGGAAGGGTTCGTCAAAAATAAAGAAATATCACAAGGGAAAGGGGGGTGTAGTAATATATAACGTTTATTAATTTTTCCCTCAAACGCGCGATTACTAAACCGAAAAGCAGCGTCAAAAATTAAGATTTGTGAGGAAGTATGTAATTGACAGCCAGTAGCACAAACGTCCATTAAAATTGTCATTAGTTTAAAGCGTTATTACCCACACAAATGTCACATTCATTACAGCTTAAAAGTGTCATTAAACCTTAATGGACAATGGACGTTAGTGCAACTTACCGTTTGTTACTCTTTCATGCAATAATTGCTATACCGATTTTGAGGAAAATGGTATACGGCTGATTCTAAGACTGAATTAACATACCTATGTTACTCAAAACAAATTAGGATCTCCTTCGATTTACGATTAGCGTCACAGTAAATATGTATGCAAAATTTCAGCTCAATCGAAAATCGAGAAGTGGGTCAAAAGCTTGCAAGATTAGACCCACACTAATAAAATAACTGTCTAACACGGCAAAAAAGCTTGTATAAATAACGCTTGTCTAAGTTTTTCTGTAATTATAACATCATTGTGACAAGTACAAGACTATCTCAAAAGTATCTTTCTGGTTTCAGATTGAATCGTTGATAACTTTTGAAGGCAATGTAATGACACACAAGCAATGGGATAAAAAGGGGCTGACTTCAGTGCATGTGCTCGAGTTCACACGAGATGAAGTTGTCACGGTGAGATGCTGCATTTAAATGATGAGCTCTTAAAATGTAGTCATCTTTGTGATTTTTTTATCAAGTCAATTACTAATCTTGTTTTTTGCCAAAAGATCCTTGACCCATATGTTTAATTTTGATAATTTTTTTCTTGTGCAAATAAAATAAGAAAATAAAAAAAGGGAGATCCTTTTGGAAGTTTACGAAAACGACGAAAAGAAAGTTGCGAAAGCTGCATACCCTACAAATCTTTGCCCGAAATCAAATATAATTTCTTAAATTTATAAACCGCCTTTGTTTCATACGATTATTTTAAAGTCAATTTCAGTAAAAAATATTCACTTGGTATTTCTTAGAACAATTGTATTTTCTAATATTTATATTTTTATTTTCAGACAACGACAGTAGAAGACACGGATATTGTTGCAAAACGTGTCTATAAATTAATTGAATAGTTTTAATTAGTCTAATAAAAGTTATTAAAAATTGAAGTTACCTCATTCATTTAATAATTAATGAATAAGGAAGCATGGTTATGATTCATGTGCACACGATTGCACGTAAGACTATAATTATGGACTTTGTACCGACAGCGCTTCGTATAGAACTTCTCTACTAATAAAGGTCTGCTTACGGTGGTGGTGTGTAGCGTGATGTGCGGTCGTGCGTAGAATTTATAATATTACTAGCTTTCGTCAGCGGCTTCGCCCGCGTGCTCCCTTGGGAACTGTTTAGTAAGATAAAAAGTAACCTATATGTAAATCCACGCTCAGAAGAATCGGTATACTAAATTTCATCAAAATTCGTCTAGTGTTTTTTTTTCGTGAAAGAGTAACAAACACACATACATCCATCCACTTTCGCATTTATTATTAGTAGGAAAACATATAAATTAAGATTCTATACATCGCTGGAGGAGTTCGATGGTGCAGTTTTTTTTGCAACGGCAGGTCAGAGGATAAGTGACTGAAAATTTATTATCCCCGAGCTTCTTGCTTTAGAAGGCCCGTTAAGTCGTTGGTGCTGTTAGAATTTTAGCGTGTATGAAAAGAGTAATAAAGATGTACCCATGTAAGGACTGTGCCACGGGGCATTCCGTACTCTCTGCCTACGGATATATATGAAGCGAAAGACGAATGCAACGACGGGTCCGGAGCTCTCCTTGCAGGATCCCGGTTTCTTTCCATCATTTTCACAAATCACGTTTAATTTTTACTTCTAATACATACTTAGTTTTAAAAGGTTTTTCGAATGCGTGACAATTTGGCCCTTATTCGTAAAACCTACTTTCCGCACTCGTATCTTAAATAACTATTTTATAATAGATAGGGCACTAACAATATTAAATCTATATAAATAAAAATTAATCCCCATTTCCCTTGGTCCCGCCATCAAACGTGAACGACTGGACCTATTTCGATTTTTTTTGCTGTGTTTTTTATTAGCAGGAGAAGTTTCTTATGAAAAAAAAAAATAAGAAAATTGTATGGAAAATTTTAAGAATATTTAACCACCATACTTTATACCACAAATGTGACCTCATGACATTTTACATAGAATTGTCAGAAGGCGTGCTGCAAAATTTCCTAATAAGGACAAGAAAACGTCTGTCGTTAGTATCTATATAAAAATATTCAACACAGTGAAAGTCTTAGGAAACGGAGATTTTGTTTATTTGCACGTCATATTTTTTTCCAATAAATCTATACTCTAATTATATAGAGGAAAGGTTTGATTGCTCGTATATTTGCATTGGGTAGGCTCCGAAACTATTGGACCGATTACAAAAGTACTTCATGTACGGGAAGTTACATAATACGCGGGGGCCATAAGCTTAATTTACGCAGGCGAAGTCGCGGGGAAACAGCTAGTTGGATAGAAATTGGTTCACAATTCAAAGAAGAAATCGATGAGCATATTTACTTTCATAACATACTCGTTGAACATAGAAAAATAAGCAATATTTTGTTTTTTAGCTAATATAAACTCTTGTGTCTGATACTCTGTCTATCCATCCATCCATCAGATCTCCGAGTACTAGGGACAAAGTGGATATTTAAAGCATTTTTCATTAAGAATATTCAGTATAGCTCTATGAATGAGACATTGATCAAATATAATAAAAAATCATCTAAATATTTAGATGACAACTGATAAAAAGCGTATTTTGTTTTGTTATAAAAGGAATACTACATATTCGATTTCGATAAAATTAAAATGGGACCACCAAGGTCCAATTAGCTATCGAATAAAATAATTATGAAAATCGATCAACAATTAGCGGAAATATCAGTGAACGTACATAAAAAAACACATCGACTTCCACAAGTTGAATAGGTTCGAATATAAAATAATAATATAATCAATAAAATCGATTCTACTGGACCGATGTTATAAATTCTTTTACCTACGCTAAAAAAGCTACATCGTACTCGGTTGATACGTCCACATTATTCGGAATGTGGAAGTATCAACCGTAGCCTATGGGTTATAATTTACAATTTAAGAATCTAATCAAGAAAAATAAGACTTTTATATCGAGTTTCGTAACAATTGATCTCGTTAAAAAGAGTAACTATAATATTAATTAGTGACCTGACATGACTTCGGACAGGTAATAAATGTTCACATTAAAATTTCTTATCCAACATCATACTCTATTGAGCGCTGTAGAAGGAGATGAAAGTATAATAGGCACAAATAAAGGAAGAGAGCGACTTAGCATATGTAATGCTAGATAATAGGTAAGTATTGAGTTCGGATATTAGAGTGAAAAGAAAAGTGAAACAATGATTCTATCGATAATAAAAATATAACAGATATTGACAGAAAAGAAAACGGCAAATAAAGATGTGTTCACTTATTTTGTCGGTTAATGGTTTAAAACTAGTACTAAAGTAAGTTCTCCTTTTATAAGTCCCCTTCGCACTTTGACAAATGCGGACAAATCCTGACAGATGGTAGTCTTACTGTGCTGTCAATATCATCCTCTACTCCACTCAGCAAGATATTATTTAGACACTTTTATGTTTTTTAATTAAAGAGACGATGTTCTCGTAGCCACTAGCCATTCACGACGTACGACGGTAACACAGGAAAGTAAATTTATATTAAGACGCTTTTGACTCTCCGTTCCCCCGGCATCATTCATAATAATATTAATGAACGTCCACGATAATATCTTCACGTAAAAAATATTATATTTAAAATATTATATTATATATGTTACTGTATTATATTAATGAGAATGAAGAAATAGAGTAGTAGGTCAGAAAGAGGAGGTCCAACCCGAGAGACTTATCCTTTATTTATCTGATTAAGTAGACCCATAATAGCGAGTGTCTAGAGGGAGTTTCATAATTTAAGTAGGTACTTTGATAACAAAATATGATACTACGGAAACAGTTGATCGCAGATACATTGAAACTATAATTATTTTAATAAATGATAGATTTTGACGTAGATAATTTAATTTATTATAACGAATAAATCAATCCATACCTATCTATTTGTTAAACAATAATGCAATTTGCGATATAAACAAGCGGGATCTCGCTAAAAGCAATTAGGCACTATTAAACGAGCGTTTGAATAATCAAATTTCGCGAACCCAATCCCTATATCGACTTTCACTTAACATGGAAGCCGAGCCCTACCTAGCTAACAACCCAGAACATTCTCTCCGGGGCACTTTCCAAAACACGATTCCCTATTCCATTAGACCCTCTCGAAGTTATCTCGCGTTATTTACATCGCCTGACCGTCTTATGTAGTCGACCCCTTATGTGTTGGGGACTTGTACATAAGTGAGCATCGCGGTGCTCTGGTCTTTATTGTGTTTGAGTTAAGGGTGATTTTGGTCGAGTGGGGGGTGAAGTGTGAGGGGTTGCGCCGGGTGTCGCGGTGTCGTCGCCATGGTAACGCGGCGCCCGGTCGCCGGATCCCGACGCCCGCAGTGTCGGTCGCCGCGCCCGCTCCCCGCCGCACAAGTGACACGCGCAGCGAAAAAGCACAACCACCCAGGGTGTAGGGTGACCATTTGTGATAACTCGTGAAGGATAATATAAACTACGTTTAATAGAGGAAATCCAGTAAAGGACAAGTCTCCCCTAATTCTACTCCCTGATATGCACATTTTTTTTATCAAACCAGTTCGAACAAGAATCTCTTTGATACGGATGGAAAGGGGGAAGGGTCAGTGTCAATGTCAGTTAAACTCACCCAATACAGGTACTATTCCTCAGGACGGCTACAAACCGGCGCTCACTTGCCATTTAATTTTGAGCATTAAATAGTATGTCATATAATATATTTCATAAGATCCATATGAAAAATTCAATGCCAGTTGTTAATTTCAATGAGGCACAATTTCATTAAAAAAGATTAGAGAATTTTACATTGTGCTAATGTCATAATCTAAATTTCAATATTAGAATTGAATTGACGCTACTTTCCACATACATAATATAATTAATACCGAAATACTTTCACCTTTTTTTTTATTTTTAACAACGTCACATACATTACTCAGATTCCAAGATGAGTAGCTAAAGCCCCCGTATTATGGAGTATCTGAGACAACGAAGGTACCACAACACCCAGACCCGAGTCAATATAGAAAAGTTCATCTTCTACATTGACCCGACCGGGAATCGAACCCGGGACCTCAGAGATGGCGACACCATGAAACCGGCGTGCGAACCACTCGGCTGGAAACTGAATAACGCAAAGTCTGATGATACTTTGACGACAAAACTAGTTAATTTGACGACAATCAAAGGAAATGATTTTCTTCTCCTTTTTATGATGAAATAACAGAGAATGTTCACTCATTTACAATGTTAAATTGATATTTTTCAATAAGATATGTATTACTTATTAGCCTTTTTATATATCACATACCTGAAAATCAAATTATTTATTGCATAAATCAAAATCCATCTGTTGTACAGTTTCGATTGGAGATTACTATTATCTGAACTTGGATTTACTCTCACAAAAATATCCTCAATATTTTAATCCTATAAAATATAGTGTCATGGTCATCGTACTAAACACCCCTAGGTCGAGTGCGCTGTGGGTGGGGGGGATCGCACCTTTTGTTTAGGACACCCCACCCCCTTCATTTACTCGCGTCCGCTCCCAATGCTGTTTGCAAACGGTTTAGGTGCCTAAATGTAGAGGGAAATGTCACGTTTTCACTTTTTGTGTTTGCGTTTTGTTTCCGCAAAGCGGAGGAGATTTATATCAGTATCAATCTTTGTATAGAAATAAAATGAATGTAAGTTATTGTTTGTTACCAATGCGTTTTGATTATAGGGGGATTTAGTAATTGATTATTTGTTACTATAAGAAAAACTGTCGTACTCAGATAAGTGAATATTGAATCTTTTTAACAATCAATTAGTAAAATTAAAAGACGTTATATTTAAGCCTCATAGGTCTCGCAAAGATGTCGCCTTAGAGAAATGAGAAATCTAGTCTTACAATATATAAGTTTTTTGAGAAAAAAGAGGAATTGGATGACTCGCCGGAGAAACAAGCTCCATACTAAAATATTCCTAGGCTTTGCTGTTGTTTTCTTTGTTGATAAGTGTTAGCTTATATAGAAGCATCAAAATAAATAACTCCTGGATAAATACAGGTTTATTGGTTTAAAATTCAAAGCTAAGTAAAGCTTACAATTCCTTTTAATTAATTATATCGGCATAGATGATTAAATATTGCCAGGTGATAGTCAGAAATATTATTTTTTGTGACATTTTTAGCTGTATTATAAAGTGAATGGTTATTTTTATTGTAAAACATTGATAATAAGGTTCATCTTAACGTTTTCGAATATAAATTGTGTTGGTAGGTGAGTTTAGTGTGATTGATTTTACAGTATATGAGGTGTACACTTGTTTTAATTAAAGCTTTCCTTATTACCCATAACGACAAATAAACAAAATAAATGTGTAAGTAATGAGGAGACATATAAATAGATATTTATATATACACTATCAAAGGATATCTTGTTTTTTTGTTATTTTGTTTTTTCTTTTCGAACTTCTGCATTCCTTAATCGCTGTACATTTTTTTTTTCGCTCCTACGTACTGTCTGGTAGACTGGTAGAGAATGCCTTTGGCATTAAGTCCGCCTTTTGCTGTTCGTGCAATAAAGTTTTAAATAAATAAATATCATCGAAATAATTAACTATCAGCTTTTGCCCACAACTTCGTCTGCGTGTTAGTAGTTCAGTTGGATAAAAATTAAATAATGTTAATTTAGAATTAAAATAACCTTTATACCAAATTTCATCCAAATCCGTTCAGCAATATTTGCGTAACAAACACCAAAACCTACAAACTTTCGCCTTTATAATATAAGTAGGATATAATATTTCGATAAAATTACTTTCAAATTGTGAACGTTTTTACTTTTGTCAAGTATATAAACAACCACATAGTAAGTAGGGCACTACCGTTAAAAAACTTTTGTTGAAATAGTTTTTATATCAACCTGACACATAAAAACTTTTTTCAATGGATCTACTAAAGAGTAAAGTCTCTACGGAACTTCAGAGTGGGAGAGCATTACACGATGTAATAATTTAAGCTCACGAAAAAAAAGTCTTGTCCTTGCATCGATCGCACGGCCGAGGCGCGGGTGTGGGCTCCGCCTACTATTCACACGAAAGGTGTGATTGGCCAGCATCGTACGTTGACGCGTTTGTGTGTGTGAGCTTCATGAAAAGCTAAAGGCCTAGTTCATTTACCGGCATTAAAATCGCTTATTATATGTTCTTCTTTCACATACACCTTATATAGAACCAGCAGGCACAATATGAATCAGATTATTAATCGATTTGACGTATTAAAATTTCAATCTAGAGAAAAATTTTCATTTCAATATTTTGGTGTTTGGAAAATTGATGTCAATAGACAATTTTGAATGAAAGACAAACAAATTATTTTGGTTAAAATTATTGCATTCGGTATTGAAAAGACATCGCTTGTAAAGTACGAAATAAACTATCATTACAAATTTCTGTGTTTCTAGGTCAATTTAATAAATAATATAATTTATTTTAAGTCATTTGGAAATTATGGAATTCAAATATTCGTTAATAACGTATATACTATACAGGTATGTCATTACTGAAGGTAAAATCAATAAAGTAACAATTTTAAATCGAAATTTGTATAATTTACAGAATGCTATTTTGCTTTTTATTAAAATACCAGTAGTCGAGTAATATACTTCTTTTTATACGTTTAAACTATCGATATTAACATATATTTCTTTTAACAGTCAAAATAAGATTAGATCTACATTGTTATTATTTTCCCGCGAATTCGCCCTCGTAAATAATTACCTATTGCAACCGCGTAGAGAGAAGTAGCTTCCTGTAGGTGATATAATTTTGAAATCGGTTCAATAGTTTCGGAGCCTATTCAAAGCAAAAAAAAAAAACAATCTATTCATTCCTTTTTATAATTCCTTTATAGTTAGTAAAGACAGACAAAATGCAATTATCTGACTGAATGATCTATCAACGCTCTGCTCTAACTATAGGAAGGACTGAGATGATATTGGGGACAGTAAAAGTTTGAAAAATTTCAACCTCTAAAGAGTTAAATACAGGTTTCAAAATCACGTGATCTATGAATTACCTGGATCCTATATCTACTAACGTTACAGTATATCTTTTTGATAGAGTTCATGTTACTAGATCATACAATTATTAACGTATCGGTCATCATTTATTTGTGATGACGCCATTGGATTAATAATATTAGACCTCAGGTAGAATAGTAGGGCAAAATTCAAGTAATTGATACGCCATTGGATGTCATTATAGCGTTAACGCTAGTAGAATCCATATATGATTTAAATGTAAAGATAAATCTTCGAAGAGGGTAGAATTTTGACAAAAAAAAATAAAAATTATGTTAAAAAACTGTAGACTTTTAAAGAACAAACAAGTATTAAAAAATAGGATGAAAAATATGAATGAACACTTAAAATACAAATGTATTTTTCTAAAACATTTAAATACAAAAATTTCATAGATACGATCAAACTGAAATTTAAGTACTTTTCAGAGCCGGAACAGGATCTTCATCTTTTTCTTTGTATAAAAAAAATTCAAAGTAACTTTCAAAATTCACCTCTTTCTCTATTTCTAGTTCTTTTTCTTTGTAACCGAAGGAATGTCATGATAATTTGCGGGTAATTAATTAAAAATAGTTTTTGCAGTGCCATTCGCCATTCTCTGTGCCATATTACTACTAGTAGAGTATTTAGGTATACTGATAATACTTTAGTTAAGTTTTTATTGAGTTGAAATAAGTACTTCACAAATGACATCATAACCATTTCTTTTTCAATAAGTTCAATATGAAAACGTGTACGCTGACAATTTGTAGCTGGTAATAACTTTACCTTATAGTTTTATAGTCATTACTGTTGCAAGTTGCCGATGTTAGTAAACAAAAAGACAAATTACTTGTAATATTAAGTAACTTTATTAGCGTAGAAAAATTACTTAAATCATCAGTACGAATTTCAAACCAAACGGTTGACCAGAATTCAATCAATCAATCACAACAGCTAACCGTTATCTTTATCATCATACACACACAAAAAAGAAATCATCACCCACCGAAACTTAATTCCGTTTCTGACAATCGAGTACATCACGAGAGCGCAGATGCGCATGCAACAAACAATGAGCCAACATTTGTAATACATCTAATTTTACAAAGAGCGCAAACGCTATTATACGTACGGCGGGTTTTGTGTATTGATCGACAGATCTGATAATTTGAATATGGAGAGGCATCGGAGCGTCTAGTGAGGAGCGTTGCGTATACGCATACGCGTTACATGTGAAATCGATTGTGCGATTCGGCAAGACCTTCATGGTCCTTTTACAAGAAGCCAATAGCCGAAACAAACATCAATAAAATTAGAAACCGTTCTATTTCATTGGACTGACTTGATTACTGGTTTAAGGATTGTCTCAATTTCCACATAGCCAATACTGGACTGGCTTACTGGATTGTCTCGTTTATTGGCCTCGTGTGAATGGACTTTTGCCGTCTTATCATAAAACGAGGACTAACTTTAGTACCAGGCTTAAACTATTACCCGACTAAAATAAGTCAACATATCTCAATTTAACGTTGTCTCTTCTGTCATTGTCAATTTGCAATCGGCAGTTAACTAACTTTAGTCCTCTTTTTATGATAAGACATGTAATTAATGAACACTTCGTAAGAGCGTTGAATATTCCGGCTGGTCTAAGTCTGGTTAATATGATCTGGTAAAGCTGGTCTTTAAATTAAAGAAAATTGCTTATAAATTCACCAGGTCCCGGTGCCCGAGATGGGATTCGAACTCATAAAATGTGAAGGCAATTCTTCTAAACAGCTTTAAGAAATGTTGTAATTATATTACACGAAGTAGAATGAGGAGAAATCTAATTTCTATTTGGGTTTACTTTAACGTCATTCTGTAGTCACATGTAATTTAATAAATAAAATTATATACAAGTCAGGAGAAACTTTTATTTTAGCTGTAAAGAATTAAATAGTTCTAATTAAAACTTGATTATAGAATAGGATTAAAACTAAATTAAGATAACATTTAGTGTCAATAGTATTGCTACCAGCTAATTGTAGCGGTAGTTGGTAGCTTACAAGACATGTTTGATGATCGAGATATACACTGAAATTTGATACTTTTAGAGAGGGTATTGTCTAATAAAGAAAAAAACATTAGCAATGGTCAGCGCTTTCGGGCTGCAATACGGAAGTTAAGAAACTTTGGTAAAGGTCGGTCATGTGATGGGTGACCAAAATTTATAATCTCATTCTCCTCCGTGCTTAGGAAGATGTGTTAAGCCGTTGGTACCGGCAACATCTGTATCTTTGACACCCACCAATCCGTATTGAACCTGTGGATAACAAATACCATGGCCTGTGCCTTAGCAGTGAGAATATTAATAAGTTGACGATGAGCAGTAGAAATGTAATTTTTTTACACCTGTTTCCAGATTCAAGAAGTTTTTGCTTTAAACAAAAATATACGTAACATAAATCTTTGTCGGAATCAACAATTAAGACTTATTCGTTGATTTTTTAAATATTTACGATATCTGTTTCCTTTTATTTTTACTTTTTGAGTAGTTATTTTTCTAAAACATGCAAGAGAGAGAAAGAGAGAGAGAGAGAGAGAGAGGGAGAGAGAGAGAGAGAAACAGAGATGACTCACCGAAGACATTTTTGTCGAAGTTAACATTGGGCACGCTGCCGACGTATTCGACGCCGCCATGAAGTTTCCTTAACTCGGTGATATTGTTGGCTTTCTGCTCCGCCAACAGTTGACCTATGCGCGCTGCAACAATCATAAGACAATATTACTGCTACCAACGGTAAAAAAAACTATTTAAATTTAACTACGAACAAAGTCTATGCATTTCATCAAAATTTTCGCGAGTAGAACAACATTTTGAGATTTCGTTAGATTAACTCAAAAAATATAGAAGTTCGGTTTATATTTAACTAAACATTTAGTAGAAGTATGTGCTGGATCATCTACTAAAAGACAATAAAAAATTAATTAAGTAACCAACAGACATTGTAAATTTTTATAATGTTTAAAATATTCTATGTATTTCAACCAAAAATAAATCTCCGCTACTCAAGTGGCTATTCAAGCTAATTAGCAGCATATACTCTTGTTTTAATTTTATTATAATTTGTCCTTAGATTTAAATTTAGTAGGTAAGTACAAAAGAAGAAACAGTATAATATACAAACAAACAGTACGTAACAATTATTATATTTATATTTTATCAATTTTGCATTAGTGTTGTATTGATATTTAGCTTATAATTAGAACATTTGTAGATTTGAAAACTTTGAATACAAACTTGCACACACAGGCATAGGCACGATGTTGTACCCGCAAACGGTGAAAATAAGTAAAGCGCAATTTCCATATTATAGAATACCTTGATAAAAATATATAGCTAGGTGACGGTCAAAGCCAGTTGCCATTATTCAATTTAGTAGCAGATCATATAACTCTTTTGAACAGACCTTTTTTTCCGGTAGTACCTATTCTCGTCTTTTTTATCCATTCAGAATAATAGCCGAATTCAAAAGAACCTCCAAAGCGTTTAATAAGCAGAACAACATTTACAAAATGCTGTCGTTATACTGTTCACATATTCGTAACAATTTCGAAATATAATTAGAGTAGAAATTGCCTATGAAAATGGGAGAAACAACTAAATCCGAGCATCAGCTAGGTCAGCGGTATTCAACCTTTTTGAGCGGCAGCAAATATTAATATATTTGAAACTCGCGACTCTGAATAACCATCTTCTTTATGTATTAGTGTTAATAACATAAGACGTTTAATTAAAAGTGTCTGCTTTGCTCCCAGTCTTCTAGAAAATATCGCACTACATCTTTATATCACTCGTGGCCTAGTTTTAGGCTCGCGAATCGAGTTAACGTTAGATAATATCTGTATTTGATTGACAGCCAGTTGCACAAACATTCATTAAGGTTTAATGACACTTCAAAACTCTAATGAATGTCAAATTTGTATGGGTAATGTCACTTTAAAGTAAGGAAAAATTTAATGGACGTTTGTGCAACTGGCTGCTAATGTTTTATTAGTTAGTTTGTTATTCATTTTCTATTTCAATTTCGCGTGAAAACTTACCCCGTCTCTTTCTAAATATACATCCTGAGCCCTTAGTGATAAAATTACAACGAACAATTTATTTCACGGAAGTCGTATAGGTTATATTTTCAAAACGAATGTTGCTAAGAAAGTGTTTCAATATAAACGAGTCATGTAACCAGTTGTGTGCCGCTTCTCTTTTTGGTAAAGTTAGAATTAACTGCACAAAAAACTAGTCGTAAATTGCCGAAGTTAATTTCGACGATTAACACGACTACACGTTTCTTAATGTCCAGCTAGTGACATTTCCAATTCTCAGACTCTGCTGCGACATAAAATATGCAGTTTAAGCATATTATCTACTAGTTGTTTTCGGAGCTTACTAGATGCAGTCAACTAAATCACCTTTCCTCTTTATAATAACAGTATAGAAGAGTTCTTTTTTAAACTTTTTCTGTAATTTCGAAAGTTTTGACCTAAATTATCGAGAAACATTATAATTTTCCTCTAACATCTAAGCTCGTTGTCCGATTGTCGCTAATTGGGATCAGTGTCTGATTTACAAAACGGAAATTTCATATTGCCCAAAACTGTCGACGCAAACCGCTAAACAACCCACCCACGCGATCAACACAAAGAACTGTAAAATCCGTGCAATTTGTACCCTCTGCTCTTGGTGCTACGTATATACTTATCGATTTATCGCAAATACTGCTGCGTTTTAAAAAGTGAAGTACTTTAGAGTTTGGGCTGCTATGAATTCTAGTGCGTCGGTTCAAGGATCGGTTTGTGTTGCCTCCGTGTTGGGTGTATAGGATTTCTCGGTTCAGTGGTGGTGTGTAAAAATGCCGTCTTGTCGTAGGCTCGTAGGCACGCCGGTCCCCCAGGCGACATTTTTACAAGGGGGCGCGGGGGGGCCCACCCGCGGACGCTCCCGTCATTTCGTTGTCATCCAAGGCCTCCTTTTTGCGCGATCGTGGCGCGAGCGTCGGCGTCGACAATACTGTTCAGTATTTTTATTCTTTCCGTCAGAGGAAATGATAATAAAAAAAAATAACATTCGCAGAGAAAATCACGAACAATGCCCGCCCTTCGGCGAGATTACCGCCATCAGAAAATGAATGCTTTGTTAGATACGTCCGACGAAATGTTTTCAGTTGTTACATTAGTCTTGTCGTTTCCATTAGAGGGACTTGGATGGGCATGAAGAGTCACCGAATACCAAACAACGTACCACTCGGGGAGATTAAATATTATATCCGTTGAAAATCCCTTCATTATAGCACGGCATGTTGATAAGAGCGTTGTTCTCAAATATACAGAGATTGTTGTATCCAGAATCACAAAATGTAAGTTTATGTTGGTATTGTTAGTCTTCTACTTTGTCTATTGCGATTAAAGATTTCGTTATCTTAAAGACACTTTTAGTTTTAGGTGAATTTAGATTTTTTATAAACTCTATGCAACATAAAAATCTTCTTAGGCGTTTTCATGTTAAGAAAAGTAGGATAAACATTAACCATAATAAGTATAATAGTAAACTTTGTTTCATAAATAACTAACCATTTATTAGTAAAGAGTAACTATTATTTTCAGCCGTTTTTAATAATAAAGAAGGTATAAATCCCCAATACCTCCGTGAAAAGTGAATCGGTATCTTTTTTCTGTTTAAAAGGGTATATGCCTAAGGGATCTTATAAAATTCACGAGGTTTGTATAAGTAGTTATTAAAAATATCAGGATATATTTTTTAACATGAAACGTGAAGAAACTTAGAAATAACTTAATAAGGAATTCCCTTGAATTTGAATTAAAATTGAATCTTATTACTATCTGAGGTTGGACATTATCATGGCTATGTTTATTTTTGAGGTTGCTACTTGGAATGCGGATTTAGTGCTCCTTCCAAACCAATCCCTTAAATTTTAAAGCCAATGTTGCCTTCTTCCAGCACTGCGTTTCCCCATAATTTGCCACTGAATTATGAGGTGAAGAACTTCGTATTTGTTTATCATCTTTTTCATTTCTTTTAAGTAGGTAATATTGTGAAAAGGAATGATTAGTTTAGTTTGAATAGGCTCCGAAACTATGGCACCGATTTTAAAAATTCGCTCACCTGCGATAAGATACATAATGCGCATAGGCTATAATTTACTCGGGCGAAGTCGCGGGAAAACAGCTAGTATAACATATTAAGGTTACGCTTTCGGGAAAAAACAAAACATATCCAAGCAAAACGTTCTTCTCAACCTTTGTACCAGGTACCGAATACACTTTATTCTTGTTTTCAATAAAACTGATATGATTGGCGGCGATGCTCCAAGCCAGACAAAGCTTTGTGAGCCACCGGTTTGTAAGGGAATCGCGTTACGTTGCCTCTTTGATTCACACGCCTTTTGATAATGTTGAAAAGGCGTACGTCTTCCGTTTGCCTCTGAGGCTGTGCCGCCACATCTTTTGTTTTTATTGCCACCTATAATCGGGGAATATGAATGGTCGTCGACCAAGATTCGTCGTGCGTATCAATTAACAGAAGTGGATATGTGATTACAGGATTTTCCGGACCAAAAAAACGAAACACTTCTAGAATCATTGTGTTTACCAGTCTGTCTGCCTCTAACTGTTAGTTAAAATGTGATATCTCAGCTAAATTGCAAAAAGTACTGGAGGATCCTTACTTTTCAAGCTACTGGAATTAAAAATTTTGAAAAAATAAAGAAAATACCTTTTTTATTTACTTACATCGAACAATTTTTAATTATCCTATTTGACGCATTAAAGGAAAACTTACTTCCTAATTATAAATGACACATTTTTTTATTTATTTATGAGGCCTCAGAGTTTGTCACCTACTGTATCGCTTCTTACAAAGAAATGTCTATAGTAATTAATATTGCCTCAAATCGTAGCTTTTGGCGGTAAATATAAAGCTAATAGATTTTAAGCTCGCATGAAATAAGTTCATTAACATATCTGATAATTATTATGCAATTATAATAAAGAAGGAAATAATAAGCGAAGTTCAGAAACAAAATGAATTAACCTATGGAATATGATAGGCTACTAAGACGATTTTAACACGACGTTCGACAACTCGCTAGTGATATCGCACCTATATTGTCAATGATAAAATAAGAGTAAATAATTTCCGATTGAGTAATAAACATATATCAAAGTAGAAAAATCGGTTTAGTCACACTATTTATAACTAAATAAAGGCTGTACCGATTCACATGAATTTTAATTTGTTAAATGGTTCACTTAGAATAAGAGAAGAATTATCATAAAAACTAAAATATATAGTCAGCAAATTGACGTACTTGTGTTTGTTAGCTGTCAACTCAAAGCTGTTTGTTAGCGCGCAACTTGACAATTGATACTACGACATTTGTGATTATGGGTGCGTGAAGAATTGAATATCTATCTAATAATGAAAGACAATAAAGTCACAAAAAATTCAAATAAAGAACAGCTATATTTTGCCACCAGCAGGCGTATTATCTAACTCGACTGACAATCTAAAGTCGTAATCACCGAAAAAAAATAAGCATTTACAATGTGTCAAAGCACTCATTCGTATTTTGCTATCAATGGTTCACAATTTTGAAATGCCGATCTCCACTGAACTCCATTTTGACAGTTTATTTTGTATCGGTAAACTGTTATTTCGTGTTCCGTAAGCATTAGTGACCATAAAA